AACGTAAATGTCTTGGGTGCACTAAGGTGGGCGTAACGCGAGAGGGAATCCAATTAAATGTACCACCCAACTTGGATTGCAAATCAAGATTTAGTTGAATTATATAGTTTGTTTTAAACAAGTATTTTGGAACCTTTCAATTCGTCTTTTAAATAATGAGACAGTTTTTTTTTTTTTTTTTTTTTTAAAGGTTTTCTTATATAAATAAAAAGTATACAAAGAAGCAAGATAGAACCATACAAACATAAAATAAAAGAGAACTAGAACGAGAACAAACAAGGATGACGAAAGATCCAAACCAAGAAAGCTTAGATAAAGGAAGAAGAAACAGTGCCCAAACTTAGCTTAGGGAATCCAGCATTGAAGAATAGAGAGTCCACGAAAAACACAGAAAAACCATAAATCTCCACCACCAATCCCCAATCCAATTATCGGAATCCCACCCCAGTTTGAAACCTTCCAATTACTCTTCAACACACAAGTAGCTTCTCCCCATGATTTTGAAAACAAAAACAATCTTAAAAGAGAGCAACCGAACAATAATTTGGTTGAAAAAAAGTAAATAGACAACAGGGTGAGAAGGCAACAGACAAGCTTTCCGGAGGAAGTGAACGTCGAAACCCGGCGGTATTCATTAATATGGTTATTGTATATTTATCTCACTACTTCACCACCATGTTATATATATATATGTGTGTGCTTATTTATTGGTTATTATGTAGATAGGTTTACAGTATATGAAGATGCTTGGCAGAGAAGGAAAAAGAAGAATGAAAGTAAAGGAGTTCACTAACATTGTTAGTTATATATATATATATATATGTGTGTGTTTATTTATTGGTTATTATGTAGATAGGTTTACAGTATATGAAGATGCTTGGCAGAGAAGGAAAAAGAAGAATGAAGGTAAAGGAGTTCACTAATATTGTTAGTTAGGAAACAGAGCATTAACAGAGTCGTTAACTCTTTGTACAGCTAATCTTATGATACACTATATAGGCAATTGTACAGGTACACAATTGATCAATGGGAAAATTGTATTGTTTGTTTTACGAACTCTTTGTATAGCTAATCTTATGATACACTATATATATAAATGACAGTAGTTAATGTGTCAAAGGGCATTTGAAAGCTTTATCAAAAACCGTTGATCTTACAATTTCGGCTGCCGTTTTGTATCCTTTCTATTTTTGCTTCTTCTTCTTCTTCTTCTTCAAAAAAAAAAAAAAAAAAAAATCTTCTTCTACATAACAAAATTTTGTGTTTCTATAATTATGCATATTTTTGGATATAAACCCAACTTGTAATTCAAAAATACTATTAGAGATTTTTGCAAAAAAATTTGATCCGTCTAAATATCTCTTGTTGCAACTCAATTACTAGATAACTAAAAGCAATACATTTACGTGAAACACGGATTAGAGATATTTGATTTTTTTTAGAGATATTTGCTTACTATGGAAACACGGATTGAACAAAAGATTAAACAATGTGAAGTTTATTAGTGACTATAATAATTACTAGATGATCAGGAAAAGAAAAGAGGGGAAACGAGAGGTGTCGAGGATTGGATACACTTACACGCAAAACTATTGTTTCTGGTTATCAAAAGTTTATCTATTCCTAGTAATGTCGTCTACATGACTTCCACTTGTTGACGTATTGCTAAGCTATGTATTTCTTCCCCCTCCCCCTTACAAAAAGATGACTTTTCTTCGGAATTCGACTTAGGAAGTTTCTAATTATGTTTAAACCAAATCTAGTAAAGAATAATCAGTTTGCTACAATTTTAGTTGGATACTTTTTTTTTTTTTTTCTATAAAATTTGAAGTTTTGTTACTTTATTACTTTGAGTTGAGATACTACTATACATTGTTGTAACACACAAATGAATCACAAGATTATGTAACCGGACAGCTATCAACAGTTACCCATCTAGCGGTCGGACACTTTGCTAGATCACAATGCTCACCTCTTGTTCCCCACCAATACAAACTCTTCTCCTCCATCCCCACCGAGATGTACAACAAAACTGCCATGAAAGCTACACCTGCGTCCATAGCGGCTTAGTTATACCTCTTGCACCAACTCTTCCTGTACCGGAACACAAACAAGTTGAATATCGTCCTGACCAATATCCACGAATTGTAGTTCACCGCCCGCGGTCGCAGGTGGCCTCATTGCGGTTGCTCCTAGAAGGACAGGGAGATTCACAAGTGGAATCCAAGAACGTTTTGGGAACCCTTTGACAGATTAAGCCTCAAGTTATGACCGTGTACTTAAGTCTTTTCTCCCATTTTTCCGATTTTAGATCTTTAGAGTTTACAATTTTTTTCCAAGTGTTTAGTATTATTATATACATATCTATTATGTATTTCAGGGTTAATTATGTTGGAACTCAAATTTTGACAAAGTAATGGGCACTATAATATTGTGTATTTACATGTCAAAATCAAAGTTAAAAGAAGAATGAGGATCCAAAGTAGATAGTTTGTATGTATCGATTTTTAAAATATTTTTGGGTTTAGTAATCTTTTAAGTAGCTACACATCGACATTAGTAAGTAGCTACACATCGACATTTTTGGGTTTAGTAATCTTTTAAGTAGCTACACATCGCCAAAAAAACTTTTTTACATTATTTTTATTACATTATCTTATACAATAAAATATTTTTAATATGTTTTCTAACAAAAATATAGGAGACACAAAGTGATGATAGATGACGATTGAAGCGGTGAGGCCAATGAAAGCCCAAGCTCCGACTGGGAGAGGACTAAGGACGAGACCAGCGATTGTTGAGAGGAAGATGGAGAGTAATTGCCAGCCTTGTGGCGTGACTCCTTCTGGTAGAGGAACAGCGAATCGGAGGATGAGACCGACGGAGATTGAGAGGATTAGAGGAATGAGTTTCGCTCCTTGAGGAGACGGAGACGGAGATGGGGGAGGAGGAGGAGGAGGAGGAGGAGGAGGAGGAGGAGCGTTGTCTTGTGGTGCGGCGGCTATTCGTGTGGAGAATCGAGGAATTGGTTTGAGGAGAGGGAAGGAGATAGGTTGAACGGAGAGAGATCGGAGGGAGATTGTTGAAGGCGGAGATCTCGAGGAGGTGCGACGGAGAAGAGAGAGACGTGAGGGATGATGATGATGATGGGAGAGTAAGGTGGAAGTGGCGGTGGTGGAGAGAGAGTGAAGAGCAAAACTCTCCATCGCCGGAGATTAGAGAGAGAGAGTGTGTGACGGCGAAGTGTTTAGTTTTCGTCAGTCGCTGGCTGTGTTTTGTCGCCGGAGAGAGCAATGATGAGTGGATGTGAAGAAGAAAGTGAAATTACACTGAGAATCTAAAAAGTCTTCGGTTCTTTTTCTCCTCTCACCCGGACCAAACAAACCGGAACCATAGTCAAATTGAACCGAACCACTTTTTCTAATTTGGTTCAATTTTCAAGCATTGATTCACCAAAATCCGAATTCTTTTTGGAGGCAATCAAAACAATATCCTCCTAATCAATCAGGTGAGTATTTTTTTCTGGATCATTAATTGATTTATCTTGAAATGATAACTTGTTTTCTAAAGATTATTTTGGGAACCTTGAGAACATCTCATTGCTAAGTGTGAAGATTAGTCTGATGCAAAACCAAATGAGAGATTCATGTCACAATGCCTCAAGTCAAGAATGTAATGTCAATTCGATGAATCATGGAAGTACTAATCTTCTCAAACACTATATGAATCTACTCTTAAAAAAATACATATCCTATTCGTACGTCCCATTGTTAGATGTCACCATCATCATATAAATATAATCCACATATTATAAACTATTACATTATCTAACGAAGCTTATAGTATAAAACCAAAAAAAGAAAAGAAAAAAAAAGAAACTTAAAGATATATGTAAATGGGGATGTGCCTTTAGTCAAGTGGTTAAGTCCATTTGACTCCGCCTTCCCCACCGGAGTTCGACTCCACTAAGTCGCGTTACCCCGCGTAATAGGGATTGGCTATGGATCGGGCTTTGTCGATCCAAAGTTGTCAAAAAAAAAAAAAAAAAAAAAAAAAAAAAAAAAAAAAAAAAAGATATCTGTAAATTAGTATAGTTATTTTTTATGGAACGACGGATACATAATGTTGCATGGGTCATCCGACCAAGAAGCGAGGATGGAAAACATAAAAATGTGCGGTTGGTATGTCACGGGAATGGGCTTCCACTCAAATATCTTTTTAAATATACATCACAGATCTATATCACAATTATCACTTATGACCCGAAGGATTGTTATTTGGAATCTCGGATGGTCCAAGCCCTTTCACTTTTTCTTGACATTTGCTTCATACCATACTTAGCATAATAGAGGATATGATGGGATCCGATTCCCTGTTGTAAAGTGGAGCATATTTGTTTATCCAGTTTATTAGCATAATCTCGAGACCACATCAATGTAAAAAACAATATATAAAATGTAATAAATATGTTGATACATATAAAAGTCGATTGAACTAATTTTATATACAAACTATAACCGAACAATTTTGTTACATAAAGACAGAAACTTACTTTTGTTCAACATATGAAAATTTACCACTAACTTTATCTCAATATTACTAGTTTCTTTACTAATGAAAGAGATTTAAACGACCAATATTTTGACCAGTCTTTGTAGCATATTTGATTTATTCTCTTTATGTAATTAAAAATATACAGTAATTAGGAAAAATTAATTAGAGAAGGAGACTTTTCTTCATATAACTTAAAAAGAAGATGAAAATGAAAGTCTATAAAAGTCGGCTTTGAAGAGAAGAGAGCCAAGCAAGTGTCTTATCTCCTCCACATCGAATCATAGAGATCCTTAAATTCTTCATTTTCCCAATTTGCGCCGCCATTAAAAAAAGCTTAGCTAATCGCTATCGTCATCCGCAACTAGCAAGACCCATCCTCTCGCCTCGCTAAACTTTTCCCCGCATCTTCTTCTTCTTAAAGCCCTTCCAATCTCTCCTAGTAATCGGATAACCGAAGTGTGTTTTCTTCTGTGATCGTTTAGAAATCTACCCAAATTTTGGATTTTGCGATAAGGGTTTTTCTTAATTTCGTCTACGGATATAGAAAATGTCTTCCATCAATTTATCCTCATCATCTCCTTCCACCATATCTCTTTCCCGCTCAAGGTAAGGTTTTTTCTTCCAAATCTCTTATTTTTACCTATTGTTTCTGCTCATTGGTTAATTCATTTTGGGGGAAATATGATTTTGCATCGACACGAGAAGAGATTCAATTTTAATCTCTGCTTAGATCTATGGATTTGTAATTGCGTTTCAGTGACCTTATAATTTGTGATTCAAAATCGATCATGACATTGAGATTCATAGCTTCTTCCCTCGTTTTTGAATAATCTTCAATGATTTGATGATTCTGTGTAGACTAAGCCAAAGCTCTACTACATTACTCCATGGACTACACCGTGTTAGTTTACCATCTTACCATCCATCAACGTTTTCAATTAAAACCACTGGAAAAGTTAAGGCTGCAGTGATCTCTAGAGAAGATGATCTGCTCTCATTCACCAACGGAAACGCTCCTCTCTCAAATGGGTCTCTCATTGATGATCGGACTGAAGAGCCATTAGAGGCTGATTCAGTTTCACTTGGAACACTTGCTGCTGATTCAGCTTCTGCACCAGCCAATGGTTTTGTTACTGAAGATGATGACTTTGAGTTGGATTTGCCAACTCCAGGTTTCTCTTCTATCCCTGAGGCCATTGAAGACATACGCCAAGGGAAGGTTCGTTTTTCTTTTGCTTTTTGTGAAAATCAAAATTTTCACCTTTTTAGTTTCTAGTTCCCTCGATTGATTTGGCGGTAATGTTGCAGCTTGTGGTGGTTGTGGATGATGAAGATAGAGAAAATGAAGGGGATTTGGTGATGGCTGCTCAGTTAGCAACACCTGAAGCTATGGCTTTTATTGTGAAACATGGAACTGGGATAGTTTGTGTGAGCATGAAAGACGATGATCTCGAGAGATTACACCTTCCTCTAATGGTGAATCAGAAGGAAAACGAAGAAAAGCTCTCTACTGCATTTACAGTGACTGTGGTAGGTATTTTTTCTCTCAAAAAGATTTGATCTTGGGCCTTGTGGTTTTTATCTAATTTGTTTGTTCATACTTTCGCCTTCATAGGATGCAAAACATGGTACAACAACAGGAGTATCAGCTCGTGACAGGGCAACAACGATATTGTCTCTTGCATCAAGAGATTCAAAGCCTGAGGATTTCAACCGTCCAGGTCATATCTTCCCGCTGAAGTATCGGGAAGGCGGGGTTCTGAAAAGAGCTGGACACACTGAAGCATCTGTTGATCTTACTGTTTTAGCTGGACTGGATCCTGTTGGAGTACTTTGTGAAATTGTTGATGATGATGGTTCCATGGCTAGATTACCAAAACTTCGTGAATTTGCCGCCGAGAATAACCTGAAAGTTGTTTCCATCGCAGATTTGATCAGGTAGGCACTTTAAATTTCAAGGCCTTGTGTCTCTTTTCGTATCTTCTCTCGAATCTAAAAAGCTAAACTTTCTGGTTTGAAATGGACAGATATAGAAGAAAGAGAGATAAATTAGTGGAACGTGCTTCTGCCGCTCGGATCCCAACAATGTGGGGACCTTTCACTGCTTACTGCTATAGGTCCATATTAGATGGAATAGAGCACATTGCAATGGTTAAGGTTAGAGCAATGCTTTAAAAATATTTCTTGTTAATTTGACTTCAGAACATCCAAGGACTTAGCCAAAACCCATCTGTCTGAAATTGTGGCAGGGTGAGATTGGTGACGGTCAAGACATTCTTGTGAGGGTTCATTCTGAATGTCTCACAGGGGACATATTTGGGTCTGCAAGGTGCGATTGCGGGAACCAGCTAGCACTCGCAATGCAGCAGATCGAGGCTACTGGTCGTGGTGTGCTGGTTTACCTACGTGGACATGAAGGAAGAGGGATCGGTTTAGGACACAAGTCTTAGAATCTCATAAAACCGCCACACTGCCAGAGATTTATTGAATTAAGGAAAAAGGTCATATCTTGTCTCCGCATATTCTTCTTTCCTTAATCGATTTTTGTTCTTGATTTTCAATCCAGGATTTTGTGTCCTTACAAATTAGGGTTAGTGTACATATGTACGGGTCTTGAGTCTGATTCATTAATAAACGATCAATACTTTTACCGAGTAAAAGAAACAAGATAGCCTGAGTAACAAGGAATTCCGTATCTCTAAACAATCCCTGTATGTTTTTCTTCTTACGTGTCTAGACGTCGGCTTTATACGTTCTCTCAAAGGCTTATCTTTTCGTCTTCTTTGGTTTTGCAGTTCCGGAGATGGACATGATCAGTCTACTTTCAGATGACTTGCTATTGCGAATACTGTCGTTGGTTCCAACAAAAGATGTAAAGGCCACAAGCCTTGTCTCGAAAAGATGGAAGTCTCTTTGGAGTTTAGTGTCAGCAATTCATCTCGATGATCGCAACTATGATAATGATGATGTTGACTATAAGAGTTTCACACAGCTTGCTTACAGGACTTTGATGAAAAACAAGGCGCCCGTTCTATACAATTTGCATCTTGACCTTGGTCCTAAGTGTGACACCGTAGATGTTGGGATATGGATTGAAACTGCGGTTTCTCGCCGCGTGCGTTGGCTTATAGTACAAATCCGGTCAGGGTCATCAGTCAGTTTGCCGAGTAGCCTATTCACATGTGAAACAATAGGTGAATTAGTGCTTGTACATTGCCTTGTTCCGGATGTTCCTTGTTGCCTCCCGTTTCTCAAGAGTTTGCGTCTTGTGAAAATGGGTTACGCATGTCTTCATAAGATTTTACGCGGCTGTCCTTATCTTCAAAATCTTAAAATGTGTGTGAATGAAGAAGAACACGAGGGAGAAGACACCACTATCGCGTTGCCTTGTTTACGACATTTATCCTTGTGGGACATGATGAGATACAAGAGTAAGAGTGGTGTGTTTGTGATAGAGGCTCCTCGTCTCAAGTACCTTAAGATTATTGATGATGTTGTCTATGACTCTCGTCGAATTGAGAATATGCCCAATTTGACTGAGGCGCATGTTGACATCACTCAAGGAGTTACCCACAAGTTTCTGAGAGCTCTTGTTTCTGCCCGCCGCCTTTATCTATGCGTATCACTACTCTCAGAGGTTCCTAGTATGATCATCTACTTCTATCGGCTTGTTCATCTCAACCTAAATATATGTGCGCAAGGTTGGTGGGAGCTCCTCACTCAAATGCTCCAAAATTCACCCAAACTAGTATCTCTCAAACTCACCGATGAACAACAATATCCTACTGACGAAACTCCAGATTGCTGGAAGCGGCCGAGTTCTATTCCGGACAGTCTTGAAACATTCGCATGGAGCGGTTACAAAGGGAGACGAGGAGATTTAGAGGTGGCGACCTTTATTATGAAGAACGCTACTCGTTTGAAGACAGCCACTTTCTTGCCACAATGCAATGACACTGACGCCAAATATAAGATGCTCAAGGACTTGGTATCTGTAACTACGACTTCAAATTCGTGTCAGCTTCTTTTCGACTAAAAAATTACGCAAAGAATCTTAACAAGGGCAAGAGAAAAATGACTCTTTTTTTCTCTATAATTTTGGTTTTCTTTCCCGGTGTAACAATGTTCTAGTTGTAACACACCGAAATAAACAATGTCCCCTATGATGATGAGATCCAATCAAAGGGTCGCCAATTGTGTAAATTATCTAATTGAAACATTTTCTAATGTTTTATAATCGTTGTAAAAGGATGCCATGTTGGTATTTTTCATCCCAAGCTAACCAAAAGCAAACATACCCAAAAGACCAAAAGACTTAAAAAAACTTGCATTATTTGATTAGAAAGGGATAGAACCCAAGTCTTACAAACGAGTACCCATAATAAGACTTCAAACATGCAGTTTCTGGTTCTGGGAACAAAATACTGTTATTTGATCAAATCCAAATTCTCAGCATCAGCACAGCTGGATAATTTTTAGACAAAACAAATGAGAAATGGAACTCTAGGCACCAATCACGGAACCAGAGTTCTTCCTGCACTCGGACAACATGTCCATGTAGAACTGACATTTGCTAATCTCGCTTCCATAGCTGCCAATGCACTGCATTTATTTAAAAACGAACAATAATCAGTGACATAGCCTTGGATTTGATTGACTTCAACAATGAAAATGTGATTATCCCATTTTATTCAATGTTCGAAAACAAGTTTCAATGGGCATGTTTCACTAGAATTAAAGAAACCAATCTTTATGTTAAATCACTATAATCACAGCGCTGTGTAAATGTTCAGCAAAGAAAAAGTAAAAATGAATTCACATGATTCAAAACGAGGTCTATCATGCACTTAAGAATCTGGAAAAATATGAACCTAACAGAAATGCAGAGAGAGTGTGATAGTATGAGAAAAAGATTCAACACTTACATCTTGGAAAGCCTTAGCATGAATGTCACAGGTGCTAGAAAGCATGGAGCTTCCAGCAAGAGCTGGAGATGCAGAAGCAGCCTCAACAGCTTCATGTTGAATGGTTCGTGGACCCATCACAGAATCAACAGCCCTGTGTGCAACTGCACTTCCAGTACCAAAAGCCATACCTATTTCCCAAAACACAAACAAACAGGTCAGTAAAGACGATTCCAGACAAACCAATTGGGTACATGCTTCAAAATTCAACATATATAATGACAAATTTATGGTGGTATTCATTAATATGGTTATTGTATATTTATCTCACTACTTCACCACCATGATATATATATATATATATATATGTATATCTATTTGACAAAGAATTGTCTGATTCTCTAATTGCAAGTAGAAAAAAATGAAGCCTCAAAACCGAATGATCAACAAAGAATTGTACCGGACTTTGCAAAGCTTCTTCAAGAACAACTTTCTTCCGAGGAGCTCTTAATAGAGACCCAAAAATTTCCACCAGAAAGTTCCAACTACTCCCCAAATTATCGCATTAATCGTAGCCATCACGAATCCAATCTTGAATACATCAGGCAGATCAACATAACCCGCTGCAAAAAAATTAAATAGAAGCAAACGCAAAAGTTAAGAGACTTAACTATAAAGAGAGAGCTATGTTCTGTTCATCAATGGGAATACCTCCAAAGTAGACAGCGGCTTGACCGCTACTGTAGTGAGTTAAAGCACCAAAAAGATTGGTGTTGTAAGCTAAAGCAAGTGCAGCTAGAATGCCCGGAACACCTGCTGCTATATGCATAGCAAGGAAAGCTGAGAAAAGCGCTCCAACGTGACCGGTTTGGCTTGCAAAAAGATAGTGAATGAAGAAGTACGCTGCTTGAAGAAGCCAAAACGCAGCAGGCCAACCCAAGGAGAGAGATTGGAGAATTTTGGCTACACAATCAGACATCCATGTTACAACACCGAGGTTTGTGAGCTGTCCTGCCATTCCCACCAAGACAGCAAACCATGCTAATGTGTCCCATGCCGATTTTTCGCTTAGGCAATCGTCCCAATTGAGGACACCAAGCAGAAGAAGTATGGAGAGACCGATCATGGCAGCTACAACACTTGGTATTCCGAGAGTCTCTCTGCACATAATATTAACCCATGGAATGCTCAGATTTTAACCAAGGTTATGATACAAAACATGAGAAATCTATGACTTACCCGCAGATCCAAAGAGTGACAGCAAGAAGCATTGTACTGACCATGATCCATTCGTTTTTAGTGACAGGGCCCATTTGCTTGAGTTTCGTTGCAGCAATACCTGGAGCATCCGGTGTGTCTTTGGTTTCTGGAGGATAAAGCTTATAGAGGATAAATGGAGTACAAAGAAGTGATATGATTGCAGGTAGACTAGCAGCCTTAAACCAAGAAACCCACGGGTTTGAGATCACTACTCCAAGCTCCTCAGCTAACTTGAGACACAGCAAATTTTGAGCTGCAGCAGTCAAGAAAAGAGCACTAGAGTTTCCGGCGCACTGCCAAAGATCAGAACAGAATTAGAGAAGCAGAACAAAATTCGAAAACTTCAAAAGTCTCTCAAAGTCAAATACTAACAACAAGAAAGAAACTTTCATCTAAACTAGAAAGCAGCCCCCAGAGTAAGACACTAATTGAACCAAAGAGCAAACTTTGTTTCTCAGCATCACACTACACGCACTACTACCTAATCATTGGAGCCAACGGATCCAATTCCCGACACAAAAAGTGATAAGCCAAATTATGAATCAAAGGACATAAAACAAAGAAGTAACCTGAAATTGAGATTGGATCAAGTAAGACCCTAATTTCCTAGAAGAAGAATCACCCGGTTTACTTCCAGCAGATAGCGAGAGAGACTTGATGATGGGCAAGAAAATGCCACCAGCTCTAGCAGTGGTACTAGGCATTGCAGGAGCAATCAAAGCCTCACTAAGCGTGAGCCCATAAGAAAGACCTAAAGTACTCTTCCCAAGCCATTTCACAAAGTAAGTAGCGATTCTATCACCAAGACCTGTTTTGACGAATCCACGAGCGAAGAAGAAAGAGATAACGATCAACCAGATAACCTCGCTTGTGAAAGCTGAGAAAGCCGCGGAGAAAGAAAGCGTTTTGGTGACGATTGAAGCGGTGAGGCCAATGAAAGCCCAAGCTCCGACTGGGAGAGGACTAAGGACGAGACCAGCGATTGTTGAGAGGAAGATGGAGAGTAATTGCCAGCCTTGTGGCGTGACTCCTTCTGGTAGAGGAACAGCGAATCGGAGGATGAGACCGACGGAGATTGAGAGGATTAGAGGAATGAGTTTCGCTCCTTGAGGAGACGGAGACGGAGATGGGGGAGGAGGAGGAGGAGGAGGAGCGTTGTCTTGTGGTGCGGCGGCTATTCGTGTGGAGAATCGAGGAATTGGTTTGAGGAGAGGGAAGGAGATAGGTTGAACGGAGAGAGATCGGAGGGAGATTGTTGAAGGCGGAGATCTCGAGGAGGTGCGACGGAGAAGAGAGAGACGTGAGGGATGATGATGATGATGGGAGAGTAAGGTGGAAGTGGCGGTGGTGGAGAGAGAGTGAAGAGCAAAACTCTCCATCGCCGGAGATTAGAGAGAGAGAGTGTGTGACGGCGAAGTGTTTAGTTTTCGTTGTCGCCGGAGAGAGCAATGATGATGAGTGGATGTGAAGAAGAAAGTGAAATTAAAACTGAGAATCTAAAAAGTAGTAAAAAAGTCTTCGGTTCGTTTCTCCTTTTACCCGGACAAAACAAACCGGAACCATAGTCAAATTGAACCGAACCTCTTTTTCTAATTTGGTTCAATTTCTAGCACTGTTTCACCAGAATCCGAATTCTGTTTGGAGGCAATCATATTTTATTTGATTTCTCTAAAGGAGGAACGTAGGATTAAATAAAGCCTTAGCTTAATTTTTTATAGGCCCAACATGAGCCCAACTACCACTAGCGTAGTCTTATCAGCCTCCGACGCTGCTGATACGATGACGTATCGGACCTTTCTTAGAAACTGACTTTTGTATGTACAGTCAGTAAGTACAACAAAATGGCGGGATGGATTTTATTATTCGGAAGGGAATAATTTGCCAAATCAATTCTGTATTTGGTAACTGGAATCCCAACTAATTGATTTGACAGTTACATCCAAATTTTATATATTCCTTTTCGAAATCAAAGTTCCTTAACTTTTGTTTTCAAATTAATTGAAAATCAATTCTCTTCGGAAAAAGGAAACCTTTCCAAAACTTTTCTATTTAGCTATTCGAAATTAAAAATATTGTTACCAAATTAACTGGAAAAAATATCATACGATTAGAAAAGGAAACAAAGATGATATTAACATTAGTAGACCTCTAATAAATGCGCTACGAGACACATAATACCTTTCCATTTCTATTCGAAATTAAATATTGTTACCAAAGCTACTGAAAATAATTAAATCGTACGATTATAAAAAAGGTCAACAAAGATGATATGCACAATTATAGCTCTAATAATAATAAATAGGTTTTTAAATTCTCAATTGAAAATAGAAAAACGTGACGTGGAATTGCTTTTTCTTTTCCTTTTGTGTCTGTGTGGAGAGTGTCAAAGCATCGTAGTTCAGTCTATTTATTTCATCGTCAAGTTCTCTTCGAAAGCCTCTGAAGTCCGAACAAAAAAAAAGAAAACAAAAATCCGATTTCAAAATGAGAATGCCACGTCAGTCTCCGCCTTCCACCACCGCCTTTATAAACACAATCCTAACAGAATCGATCCCAATTCACAAACCACCATGGGAGAAGCAATTCTGTTGAATCTGAATATAGCGGTAGCTCTCAAAGTCGAGAGAAACACTGATGGTTATACGGCAACAGTCCATTCGACGGAGGCGACAGTCTTAACGCCGGTCGTCATTACACCGGCGGTAGAGATTCCGACGACGATCTCTCTCCGTCATTTTTCACATTTCTCTCTTTCCGTTTTTTGAGATCCAGATCTGTGATGTTTCAGGTTACAAACGCCGCTAATCGCAACGCAACCGTCGCAAATTCCTCTTCCACTCCTCCTCCTCCTCCTCCTCCGGTCGATAATCTGGTAAACTCAACCATCGGAAACCACTCATTCACTCCTCCTCCGTCGCCATCTCTTGCAACGACGGTAACTGCCTCTAAATCTCTCTCCTCTCCGCGTTTTTTTTTTGAGATTGCTTAATTCCGGTCGTCATTACACCGGCGGTAGAGACTCCGACGACGATCTCTCTCCGTCATTTTTCACATTTCTCTCTTTCCGTTTTCTGAGATCCAGATCTGTGATGTTTCAGGTTAGAATCGCCGCTAATCTCAACGCAACCGTCGCAAATCCCTCTTCCACTACTCCTCCTCCTCCTCCTCCTCCTCCGCCGCCACTGCATGGAACGGAGGTAACTCTCTCTCTCTCTATCTCTCTTCCCATACCTCTCTCCTCTCCGCGTCTTTAGATGAGACTCTGTTTTTCAGGCGGGAAACGAAAACGCCGCGAATGACGACTCCGCGCCTCCGTCTCCGGTCGATAATCTGGTAAACTCAACCATCGGAAACCACTCATTCACTCATCCTCCGTCGCCACTGTTTGCAACGACGGTAACTGTCTCTTTATCTCTCTCCTCTCCGCGTTTTTTTGAGATTGCTTAATTCCGGTCGTCATTACACCGGCGGTAGAGATTCCGACGACGATCTCTCTCCGTCATTTTTCATATATCTCTCTTTCCGTTTTCTGAGATCCAGATCTGTGATGTTTCAGGTTAGAAACGCCGCTAATCTCAACGCAACCGTCGCAAATCCCTCTTCCACTACTCCTCCTCCTCCTCCGCCGCCGCCACTGCTTGGAACGGAGGTAACTCTCTCTCTCTCTATCTCTCTTCCCATACCTCTCTCCTCTCCGCCTCTTTATATGAGACTATGTTTTTCAGGCGGGAAATGAAAACGCCGCTAATGTCAACCCCGTGCCTCCGTCTCCGGTCGATAATCAGGTTAACTCAACCATCGGAAACCACTCATTCACTCATCCTCCGTCGCCACTGTTTGCAACGACGGTAACTGTCTCTTTATCTCTCTCCTCTCCGCGTTTTTATCTGGGATTGCGTTTTGTTAATCTAGGCATAGTCACTGAGTATGTCTTTAGACGACAGGAATTGAATGAATAGTTAATGTTTGTGTTCAGATCACTGGAAACTTCTCCACTCCTCCGTCTAACAATTCTTCTCCTGCGGTATGGTTATGAATCTAGGTATAGTCACTGTAAGTCGTCGTTAGAAGACAGTAATTGAATGAATAGTTTATGTTTGTGTTCAGATCACCGGAAACTTCTCCACTCCTCCGCCAAGATCCCCGTCTCCGGTGATAGCCACTGGCTTTACCAATTCTTCTCCGGCGTTGGTAAGGATTCTCCCCCATATCACATTTTGGCTGCTCTAGGATTGATTGATATCCAAAGTATTGATGGGTTTGTGTTTATATTCAGACTCCCCGCAGAAACTTCTCCACTCCTCCGTCAAGATCCCCGTCTCCGGTGATAGCCACTGGCTTTACCAATTCTTCTCCGGCGTTGGTAAGGATTCTCCCCCATATCACATTTTGGCTGCTCTAGGATTGATTGATATCCAAAAGTATTGATGGGTTTGTGTTTATATTCAGACTCCCCGCAGAAACTTCTCCACTCCTCCGTCAAGATCCCCGTCTCCGGTGATAGCCACTGGCTTTACCAATTCTTCTCCGGCGTTGGTAAGGATTCTCCCCCATATCACATTTTGGCTGCTCTAGGATTGATTGATATCCAAAAGTATTGATGGGTTTGTGTTTATATTCAGACTCCCCGCAGAAACTTCTCCACTCCTCCGTCAAGATCCCCGTCTCCGGTGATAGCCACTGGCTTTACCAATTCTTCTCCGGCGTTGGTAAGGATTCTCCCCCATATCACATTTTGGCTGCTCTAGGATTGATTGATATCCAAAAGTATTGATGGGTTTGTGTTTATATTCAGACTCCCCGCAGAAACTTCTCCACTCCTCCGTCAAGATCCCCGTCTCCGGTGATAGCCACTGGCTTTACCAATTCTTCTCCGGCGTTGGTAAGGATTCTCCCCCATATCACATTTTGGCTGCTCTAGGATTGATTGATATCCAAAAGTATTGATGGGTTTGTGTTTATATTCAGACTCCCCGCAGAAACTTCTCCACTCCTCCGTCAAGATCCCCGTCTCCGGTGATAGCCACTGGCTTTACCAATTCTTCTCCGGCGTTGGTAAGGATTCTCCCCCATATCACATTTTGGCTGCTCTATTGATATCCAAAGTATTGATGGGTTTGTGTTTATATTTAGACTCCCCGCAGAAACTTCTCCACTCCGTCCAGATCTCCATCATCTCTGGTGATAGCCCCTGAATTCCATACCGATCCTTCTCCTATGGTAAGCAAACATCTATTTCTTGATAGTTAAGATTATGAAAGATTATGAAGGTTATGAAAGATTTTTGTCACTGAATAACAGATAACAGAGGAACAGACTGAAGAGACAAACAGAAAGAGGCAGAGGGTTGAGGATTGCGGTGACTCAATGCACGTTGACGGAGTTTATGACACTGCTGTTCGTGTCAGCCAATCAGAGGACACATACATGTCTGATGGCACGCCTAATCCGAACAAGAGAAAGAAACATGACACTTAGAGCAAAAGGTAAAAACTTTTATCCTTTTAGCTAATACGTGAAAAACTTTAGAGAAGACACCAAATAAACGAAAACACTCATATATCCAACATACTTCTATCTTTTATGCATATACCGAGAAACAATAAAAAAACCTTTGGTTTTTTTTTTACTTTTGGTTATATGCAAGTTTATAAACTAATGAATGCATATAAAGAGTTTGAATAATTTTGGGGATTTTAAAATCTCAAGTTGAATAACATGTGATTTAAAAAATAAATCTAAATCTTCCAAAATACATGTTTCAATACACTTCCCTCACGAAATCCACATTTTTTAAGTTTACCATTCATTAGTTTATGTATATAAATAATGAGATAGATATGGTATATAAACACTGAAACAATAGATATGAAATTATATTGCGACATGTTAAACACTATAATTGAATACCATCAAAGTGATAAATAAAATTATAGTTAATTTAAATAGATACATTGATTTATTTTTTAACTAGTAGTTAATGTATAACATAGCCAGTTTGCAAAATGTAGAAACACAATGTCAATGTGAATGTTATAAACTTCATACACATGGCAAAAAATCACGTTTGATAACGTAATATAACATTTCACATCAATTGTGAAATGTACATAGTAGTACGTAAACACAGAACAAATAAAAGGTACATATGCATGTTAAATAATAAATAGATAGTGGGCTTGTGTGAACGTAAATGTCTTGGGTGCACTAAGGTGGGCGTAACGCGAGAGGGAATCCAATTAAATGTACCACCCAACTTGGATTGCAAATCAAGATTTAGTTGAATTATATAGTTTGTTTTAAACAAGTATTTTGGAACCTTTCAATTCGTCTTTTAAATAATGAGACAGTTTTTTTTTTTTTTTTTTTTTTAAAGGTTTTCTTATATAAATAAAAAGTATACAAAGAAGCAAGATAGAACCATACAAACATAAAATAAAAGAGAACTAGAACGAGAACAAACAAGGATGACGAAAGATCCAAACCAAGAAAGCTTAGATAAAGGAAGAAGAAACAGTGCCCAAACTTAGCTTAGGGAATCCAGCATTGAAGAATAGAGAGTCCACGAAAAACACAGAAAAACCATAAATCTCCACCACCAATCCCCAATCCAATTATCGGAATCCCACCCCAGTTTGAAACCTTCCAATTACTCTTCAACACACAAGTAGCTTCTCCCCATGATTTTGAAAACAAAAACAATCTTAAAAGAGAGCAACCGAACAATAATTTGGTTGAAAAAAAGTAAATAGACAACAGGGTGAGAAGGCAACAGACAAGCTTTCCGGAGGAAGTGAACGTCGAAACCCGGCGGTATTCATTAATATGGTTATTGTATATTTATCTCACTACTTCACCACCATGTTATATATATATATGTGTGTGCTTATTTATTGGTTATTATGTAGATAGGTTTACAGTATATGAAGATGCTTGGCAGAGAAGGAAAAAGAAGAATGAAAGTAAAGGAGTTCACTAACATTGTTAGTTATATATATATATATATATGTGTGTGTTTATTTATTGGTTATTATGTAGATAGGTTTACAGTATATGAAGATGCTTGGCAGAGAAGGAAAAAGAAGAATGAAGGTAAAGGAGTTCACTAATATTGTTAGTTAGGAAACAGAGCATTAACAGAGTCGTTAACTCTTTGTACAGCTAATCTTATGATACACTATATAGGCAATTGTACAGGTACACAATTGATCAATGGGAAAATTGTATTGTTTGTTTTACGAACTCTTTGTATAGCTAATCTTATGATACACTATATATATAAATGACAGTAGTTAATGTGTCAAAGGGCATTTGAAAGCTTTATCAAAAACCGTTGATCTTACAATTTCGGCTGCCGTTTTGTATCCTTTCTATTTTTGCTTCTTCTTCTTCTTCTTCTTCAAAAAAAAAAAAAAAAAAAAATCTTCTTCTACATAACAAAATTTTGTGTTTCTATAATTATGCATATTTTTGGATATAAACCCAACTTGTAATTCAAAAATACTATTAGAGATTTTTGCAAAAAAATTTGATCCGTCTAAATATCTCTTGTTGCAACTCAATTACTAGATAACTAAAAGCAATACATTTACGTGAAACACGGATTAGAGATATTTGATTTTTTTTAGAGATATTTGCTTACTATGGAAACACGGATTGAACAAAAGATTAAACAATGTGAAGTTTATTAGTGACTATAATAATTACTAGATGATCAGGAAAAGAAAAGAGGGGAAACGAGAGGTGTCGAGGATTGGATACACTTACACGCAAAACTATTGTTTCTGGTTATCAAAAGTTTATCTATTCCTAGTAATGTCGTCTACATGACTTCCACTTGTTGACGTATTGCTAAGCTATGTATTTCTTCCCCCTCCCCCTTACAAAAAGATGACTTTTCTTCGGAATTCGACTTAGGAAGTTTCTAATTATGTTTAAACCAAATCTAGTAAAGAATAATCAGTTTGCTACAATTTTAGTTGGATACTTTTTTTTTTTTTTTCTATAAAATTTGAAGTTTTGTTACTTTATTACTTTGAGTTGAGATACTACTATACATTGTTGTAACACACAAATGAATCACAAGATTATGTAACCGGACAGCTATCAACAGTTACCCATCTAGCGGTCGGACACTTTGCTAGATCACAATGCTCACCTCTTGTTCCCCACCAATACAAACTCTTCTCCTCCATCCCCACCGAGATGTACAACAAAACTGCCATGAAAGCTACACCTGCGTCCATAGCGGCTTAGTTATACCTCTTGCACCAACTCTTCCTGTACCGGAACACAAACAAGTTGAATATCGTCCTGACCAATATCCACGAATTGTAGTTCACCGCCCGCGGTCGCAGGTGGCCTCATTGCGGTTGCTCCTAGAAGGACAGGGAGATTCACAAGTGGAATCCAAGAACGTTTTGGGAACCCTTTGACAGATTAAGCCTCAAGTTATGACCGTGTACTTAAGTCTTTTCTCCCATTTTTCCGATTTTAGATCTTTAGAGTTTACAATTTTTTTCCAAGTGTTTAGTATTATTATATACATATCTATTATGTATTTCAGGGTTAATTATGTTGGAACTCAAATTTTGACAAAGTAATGGGCACTATAATATTGTGTATTTACATGTCAAAATCAAAGTTAAAAGAAGAATGAGGATCCAAAGTAGATAGTTTGTATGTATCGATTTTTAAAATATTTTTGGGTTTAGTAATCTTTTAAGTAGCTACACATCGACATTAGTAAGTAGCTACACATCGACATTTTTGGGTTTAGTAATCTTTTAAGTAGCTACACATCGCCAAAAAAACTTTTTTACATTATTTTTATTACATTATCTTATACAATAAAATATTTTTAATATGTTTTCTAACAAAAATATAGGAGACACAAAGTGATGATAGATGACGATTGAAGCGGTGAGGCCAATGAAAGCCCAAGCTCCGACTGGGAGAGGACTAAGGACGAGACCAGCGATTGTTGAGAGGAAGATGGAGAGTAATTGCCAGCCTTGTGGCGTGACTCCTTCTGGTAGAGGAACAGCGAATCGGAGGATGAGACCGACGGAGATTGAGAGGATTAGAGGAATGAGTTTCGCTCCTTGAGGAGACGGAGACGGAGATGGGGGAGGAGGAGGAGGAGGAGGAGGAGGAGGAGGAGGAGCGTTGTCTTGTGGTGCGGCGGCTATTCGTGTGGAGAATCGAGGAATTGGTTTGAGGAGAGGGAAGGAGATAGGTTGAACGGAGAGAGATCGGAGGGAGATTGTTGAAGGCGGAGATCTCGAGGAGGTGCGACGGAGAAGAGAGAGACGTGAGGGATGATGATGATGATGGGAGAGTAAGGTGGAAGTGGCGGTGGTGGAGAGAGAGTGAAGAGCAAAACTCTCCATCGCCGGAGATTAGAGAGAGAGAGTGTGTGACGGCGAAGTGTTTAGTTTTCGTCAGTCGCTGGCTGTGTTTTGTCGCCGGAGAGAGCAATGATGAGTGGATGTGAAGAAGAAAGTGAAATTACACTGAGAATCTAAAAAGTCTTCGGTTCTTTTTCTCCTCTCACCCGGACCAAACAAACCGGAACCATAGTCAAATTGAACCGAACCACTTTTTCTAATTTGGTTCAATTTTCAAGCATTGATTCACCAAAATCCGAATTCTTTTTGGAGGCAATCAAAACAATATCCTCCTAATCAATCAGGTGAGTATTTTTTTCTGGATCATTAATTGATTTATCTTGAAATGATAACTTGTTTTCTAAAGATTATTTTGGGAACCTTGAGAACATCTCATTGCTAAGTGTGAAGATTAGTCTGATGCAAAACCAAATGAGAGATTCATGTCACAATGCCTCAAGTCAAGAATGTAATGTCAATTCGATGAATCATGGAAGTACTAATCTTCTCAAACACTATATGAATCTACTCTTAAAAAAATACATATCCTATTCGTACGTCCCATTGTTAGATGTCACCATCATCATATAAATATAATCCACATATTATAAACTATTACATTATCTAACGAAGCTTATAGTATAAAACCAAAAAAAGAAAAGAAAAAAAAAGAAACTTAAAGATATATGTAAATGGGGATGTGCCTTTAGTCAAGTGGTTAAGTCCATTTGACTCCGCCTTCCCCACCGGAGTTCGACTCCACTAAGTCGCGTTACCCCGCGTAATAGGGATTGGCTATGGATCGGGCTTTGTCGATCCAAAGTTGTCAAAAAAAAAAAAAAAAAAAAAAAAAAAAAAAAAAAAAAAAAAAGATATCTGTAAATTAGTATAGTTATTTTTTATGGAACGACGGATACATAATGTTGCATGGGTCATCCGACCAAGAAGCGAGGATGGAAAACATAAAAATGTGCGGTTGGTATGTCACGGGAATGGGCTTCCACTCAAATATCTTTTTAAATATACATCACAGATCTATATCACAATTATCACTTATGACCCGAAGGATTGTTATTTGGAATCTCGGATGGTCCAAGCCCTTTCACTTTTTCTTGACATTTGCTTCATACCATACTTAGCATAATAGAGGATATGATGGGATCCGATTCCCTGTTGTAAAGTGGAGCATATTTGTTTATCCAGTTTATTAGCATAATCTCGAGACCACATCAATGTAAAAAACAATATATAAAATGTAATAAATATGTTGATACATATAAAAGTCGATTGAACTAATTTTATATACAAACTATAACCGAACAATTTTGTTACATAAAGACAGAAACTTACTTTTGTTCAACATATGAAAATTTACCACTAACTTTATCTCAATATTACTAGTTTCTTTACTAATGAAAGAGATTTAAACGACCAATATTTTGACCAGTCTTTGTAGCATATTTGATTTATTCTCTTTATGTAATTAAAAATATACAGTAATTAGGAAAAATTAATTAGAGAAGGAGACTTTTCTTCATATAACTTAAAAAGAAGATGAAAATGAAAGTCTATAAAAGTCGGCTTTGAAGAGAAGAGAGCCAAGCAAGTGTCTTATCTCCTCCACATCGAATCATAGAGATCCTTAAATTCTTCATTTTCCCAATTTGCGCCGCCATTAAAAAAAGCTTAGCTAATCGCTATCGTCATCCGCAACTAGCAAGACCCATCCTCTCGCCTCGCTAAACTTTTCCCCGCATCTTCTTCTTCTTAAAGCCCTTCCAATCTCTCCTAGTAATCGGATAACCGAAGTGTGTTTTCTTCTGTGATCGTTTAGAAATCTACCCAAATTTTGGATTTTGCGATAAGGGTTTTTCTTAATTTCGTCTACGGATATAGAAAATGTCTTCCATCAATTTATCCTCATCATCTCCTTCCACCATATCTCTTTCCCGCTCAAGGTAAGGTTTTTTCTTCCAAATCTCTTATTTTTACCTATTGTTTCTGCTCATTGGTTAATTCATTTTGGGGGAAATATGATTTTGCATCGACACGAGAAGAGATTCAATTTTAATCTCTGCTTAGATCTATGGATTTGTAATTGCGTTTCAGTGACCTTATAATTTGTGATTCAAAATCGATCATGACATTGAGATTCATAGCTTCTTCCCTCGTTTTTGAATAATCTTCAATGATTTGATGATTCTGTGTAGACTAAGCCAAAGCTCTACTACATTACTCCATGGACTACACCGTGTTAGTTTACCATCTTACCATCCATCAACGTTTTCAATTAAAACCACTGGAAAAGTTAAGGCTGCAGTGATCTCTAGAGAAGATGATCTGCTCTCATTCACCAACGGAAACGCTCCTCTCTCAAATGGGTCTCTCATTGATGATCGGACTGAAGAGCCATTAGAGGCTGATTCAGTTTCACTTGGAACACTTGCTGCTGATTCAGCTTCTGCACCAGCCAATGGTTTTGTTACTGAAGATGATGACTTTGAGTTGGATTTGCCAACTCCAGGTTTCTCTTCTATCCCTGAGGCCATTGAAGACATACGCCAAGGGAAGGTTCGTTTTTCTTTTGCTTTTTGTGAAAATCAAAATTTTCACCTTTTAGTTTCTAGTTCCCTCGATTGATTTGGCGGTAATGTTGCAGCTTGTGGTGGTTGTGGATGATGAAGATAGAGAAAATGAAGGGGATTTGGTGATGGCTGCTCAGTTAGCAACACCTGAAGCTATGGCTTTTATTGTGAAACATGGAACTGGGATAGTTTGTGTGAGCATGAAAGACGATGATCTCGAGAGATTACACCTTCCTCTAATGGTGAATCAGAAGGAAAACGAAGAAAAGCTCTCTACTGCATTTACAGTGACTGTGGTAGGTATTTTTTCTCTCAAAAAGATTTGATCTTGGGCCTTGTGGTTTTTATCTAATTTGTTTGTTCATACTTTCGCCTTCATAGGATGCAAAACATGGTACAACAACAGGAGTATCAGCTCGTGACAGGGCAACAACGATATTGTCTCTTGCATCAAGAGATTCAAAGCCTGAGGATTTCAACCGTCCAGGTCATATCTTCCCGCTGAAGTATCGGGAAGGCGGGGTTCTGAAAAGAGCTGGACACACTGAAGCATCTGTTGATCTTACTGTTTTAGCTGGACTGGATCCTGTTGGAGTACTTTGTGAAATTGTTGATGATGATGGTTCCATGGCTAGATTACCAAAACTTCGTGAATTTGCCGCCGAGAATAACCTGAAAGTTGTTTCCATCGCAGATTTGATCAGGTAGGCACTTTAAATTTCAAGGCCTTGTGTCTCTTTTCGTATCTTCTCTCGAATCTAAAAAGCTAAACTTTCTGGTTTGAAATGGACAGATATAGAAGAAAGAGAGATAAATTAGTGGAACGTGCTTCTGCCGCTCGGATCCCAACAATGTGGGGACCTTTCACTGCTTACTGCTATAGGTCCATATTAGATGGAATAGAGCACATTGCAATGGTTAAGGTTAGAGCAATGCTTTAAAAATATTTCTTGTTAATTTGACTTCAGAACATCCAAGGACTTAGCCAAAACCCATCTGTCTGAAATTGTGGCAGGGTGAGATTGGTGACGGTCAAGACATTCTTGTGAGGGTTCATTCTGAATGTCTCACAGGGGACATATTTGGGTCTGCAAGGTGCGATTGCGGGAACCAGCTAGCACTCGCAATGCAGCAGATCGAGGCTACTGGTCGTGGTGTGCTGGTTTACCTACGTGGACATGAAGGAAGAGGGATCGGTTTAGGACACAAGCTTCGAGCTTACAATCTGCAAGATGCTGGTCGAGACACGGTTGAAGCTAATGAGGAATTAGGACTTCCTGTTGATTCTAGAGAGTATGGAATTGGTGCACAGGTATTAACCAAGATCACATTACCATAAAAAAAAAAGACAACAATTTATTTCCGGGTATTTTACTAAATCTTCTTGAATATCCAGATACTGAGGGATTTAGGCGTGAGGACGATGAAGCTGATGACGAATAATCCCGCAAAGTATGTTGGTCTGAAGGGATACGGATTAGCGATTGTTGGGAGAGTCCCTCTATTGAGTCTTATCACAAAGGAGAATAAGAGATATCTGGAGACAAAGCGGACCAAGATGGGTCACATGTATGGCTTGAAGTTCAAAGGCGATGTTGTGGAGAAGACTGATGAATCTGAGTCCTAAGCTTGAAAACCAGGACGAACCGAATGGAATCAAGAAATATAGATATAATACTTGAAAAAACCAGGAAAGAAATTGACACACAAGAAGAAGAAAAAGACTTCTGATCCGTCTGAGAAACTTGATTAGATTGGTTTATGTTCTAATCTAATCTTATCTGATTTTTTTTTGTCTACAATTCTTGAATTACTTCTTGTTGTTGGGATTGAGTAGTTGCATTTTTGATTTGTAGAGCTGTGACAAAGAGGCCAGCTTTGAAGTGTGTCATCTGGTTGATTCCTTGTAAAACCTTTTTTTTAAAACATTTAAACTATAATAAAAGTGTCATGATTAAGAAAACTAGTTAACTAATTTTTAGTCATATTGACTCTTTAACAATAAACTCCATAAAAGTCCTCCTCGAAAACTTTACAGTTTCAAATTCAAGTCCCTCCTGGCTCCTGGAGAAACTGGAAACTGTTTGAACTCTGAACAACAACAAACAATACAAGGAAAAAGCCGAGGAGGCCGGGCAAGATACTCTCATTTTATTCTTCTCTTTGTTTTTGAACTATATTTATTTTGCACAAATTAGGATTGATACTAAAAATATTTTTTAAATCAAATAATAGTATTCTCTTCTTGTGTATTAAAAGATTTTATTTAGTAGATATAAAATTTATGAAAATCTAAAATTATTACACGATACATATTTAAAAAAAAAAAAAAACACAAAAAGGAAAAGCATAAAAAGAAGAAACAGAGTGGACCATGTGTCCGCGTGGAACCAAAGCTTCCAAATAACTTGACCGTTTAATTTATGGGGAAGGAAAAAGAAAAATCATCGCAACACAACGGCCATAAACATCCATCACGCGTCTCCAAAAAAGAACACGTGTACGGTCCTGATTCTATAATTCACAGCTGTCATAGAGCCGTTAGCGCCGTAGTCAAAGGGTTTAAGCCCAACCGCGTTTTTTCAACCCTTTATGCTTTTCTTCTGTAGCATAATATCTCAGCCGTTAGATTTAAGTCGGTCCTCACTTTTTCATATCAACGGTCGAGATTCATCATACACCTTAAACCAGTGCACCCCACTTTTTCTCTCTATATAAAGAACACCATCTCCTAGCTTTTCCTAACAATAACAACAAAGCAAAAACACTCCCAAACCCCCAAAAAAAGAAGAAGCTAAATTCGAATCTCTCTCTTTCTGAAAAATGGCTTTCTCGAAATCTCTAGGGTTTGTTCTTCTCGCTGCTCTTTTGATTTCTTCCACAGTGGCTCAATCTCCAGCTCCAGCTCCATCTAACGTCGGAGGAAGACGGATCTCACCGGCTCCTTCACCTAAGAAGACGACTTCTCCTGCGCCTGCACCTGAAGTTTCTCCTTCTCCTTCTCCGGTAGCCGCATTGACTCCAGAATCCTCTGCTTCACCTCCATCGCCGCCTCTTGCTGATTCTCCTACCTCTGACTCTCCGGCTTTGTCTCCGTCTGCGATATCTGATTCGCCTACTGAAGCTCCTGGTCCTGCTCAGGGCGGCGCCGTTTCGAACAGTTATGCAGTCTTCGGATCTGTGGCGGTTATGTTAACCGCTGCCGTTTTTGTTATCTAGGTTGTTCCGATGAATGAAGCTTCTTTGATTTGAAGGATTTTATTTATTTATTTATTTTAGATATATATGAGTTTTGTGAGAGAGAGATGATGATTCCTTATTTTTCTCTTCTTTTTATATCATCTTAGAATATTTTTCTTTCTTTTTTTTTGTTTCTTCGGCTGATCCTATTAGCGTTGTATCTATCCAATATTTATCTATGATTTATCATATTTCTAAATAACTTTCTATGGAAATATTAATTCAAATTAATATGGTCTGAATAACCCTGATCTGTAGTACAATTTTCCGCTTAAAATAACAAAATGTGTAATTTAGTTCAAGAAAAGTAAGGTAACATGCCTAAATTAATTGTCAGAATAACTATGCATATATTTGTTTTACTAGTTAAGCAAACTAAGCGCAATGACTACTACTAAGGGAGAGCGAAACAAAATCATGATCTATGAACAATATTGTTTGTTAATCAAGTGAAACAATATCATGATTCACTACTACTAATAATTTTTTTTTAAAAAGTGTAAATTACTTCAAGAAAACTATGGTAACATGCCTAAATTATTCCCCCGAATATTTCTGTATAAGAAAGATTCACACATGTGTTTATGTTCCCTTCAGCCGTACTAGTAGTAAATAAATTAGCCCAATGACCAAATGAAGAATTTACAGCAACATTATCACAGTGACATATCCATCAAAACATGGGCCTTGAGGCCTTAATTAGCCCAATAAGATGGTTTAATTGAATAGTTGAGGAACCTGAAATTTCAAGGGAAAGAATCATAATTTGGGTGAATCCACATAACACATTCCACAATCACAATAACCAAACATTTTTATTCTCTTATCATTGTATATAGTTTCAGAAAACTGCATTATAAAACGTTCGTCTATCAAGTGTTTTGTTGGGGAACAAGACTCTGTAACAAAATTGACCAAGTTCTATCATTTGGAACAAAACCATTTTCAATACCTTCATTCAGAAGTAAGCAAGCATCATAAACAAAACCTCTTTTGCACAACCAACTCATCAAAGTGTTATACGTCACCGTATCAGGCGGTATTCCTTCAGCCTGAAGCTTTCTAAACATTGTCAAACCATCTTCGATCCTACCGGCCCTACACAGACCGTTTATCAGACTGTTAAATGTCACAATGTCCGGTGTTGATCCTCTCAGAACCATCTCTTTCTGAAATTCAACCGCTTCTTCCACCATCCCGCTTCTGCAGAGCCCGTTTATAAGTATGTTGCAGGAGATGCTGCTCGGTACAAGCCCGTCTCTTAACATCTTTTCAAACAAGCTTCTCGCTTTATCTACCTCCCCAGCCCTGCACAGCCCTTTTATCAGACTATTGTAGGTTATCTCATCGAGCGGGGATCCCTGGAAAACCATCTCATTAACTAGTTTACGAGCTTCTTTGATTTCACCTCTTCTAAGAAACGCATTGATCAGCGTGTTGTAAGTAACAGTATTGGCAACAACACCTTCTGATATCATGTCTCTAAGTAACCATAAGGCATGCTTTATTTCGTCGACCTCACAGAGCCCAGATATCAGCGAATTAAATGTATACACATCGGGTTTACAGCCTTTTCTCGGCATCTCTCTGAAAATCTCTACGGCCTCGGGGATTCTGTGTTCCTTGCAGAAAGCCGATATCAAACAGTTAAAACCAACAGTGTTGGGTTTCAGTCCATCGGCAGACATTTCATTCAGAAGATTGTAGGCTTCATCTATCTTTCCTAATTTACAGAAACCATCAACTAAAATAGTATAAGAGTAGACGTTAGGCTTACATCCCTTATTCCTCATGTCGCGAAGAACTTCCAGAGCTAAACCTACAAGACCCTTCTTCCAATATCCATAGATCAGTGAGTTATATGTGCAGACATCAGGAACGATGCCATAAGACGTGTCCATATCTGATAAGAAAGCTTTAGCATCATCAAGTCTTCCATGAGTCACAAACCCGTGAATAAGAGTGTTGAAGATCACAATTGTCGGCTTCGGAATTCTGTAAAAAAGATCCTTTGCAGCATCAACCCGGCCAATCTTACATAGACCATTCATCAAATACCCATAAGTAATATCATCAGGAGCAAATCCTCTAATCAGCATCCGGTTCACCATTTTAGCAGCTTCGTTAATCCGATCAAACTTACAGAGACAAAGGATAACATCGTTGAACGTCTCAGCATCAGGAACACATCCCATCAGAAACATCTCCTCTAAAAGTTGAAGCGCTTCGTTCACTCTATTACCCTTCGATAACGAATGTATAAGAGTCTGGTAAATCACAGAGTTTGGAACACAGCCATGTTTCGTCATGTCCCTAAGCAGAGACAGAGCCGAATCTATCTCATTAACCGCACAAAAAGCTTTCATCACAACACCAAATGTGAAAAGCGTTGGAGGAATTTTTCGGCTAAGCATATCGTAGAACACATTAGCTGCAACTTTATGACAATTAGCAGAAACCAAAATCTCTAAGACAACATTGTAAGATTTGAAAGTGGGTTCACAGGAATACACATTCCTCATCTCCAACAACAATCTCGTAGTTTGTCCAGGAAAACCAGCTTTGTCGTAATCTCTCATAATCGAAATAAAAAGAGATTCTTTAAAAACGATTCCTTCATCTTTCATCTGCATTAGCAATCTATCAATGGTCTTAAACTCACCATTCGAACCAAGCTTACCTATAAGAACTTGATACACATCGAAGGAGTGACGATAACCCTTTTGAGAACCGGTCCATGAGAACAACTCCATTGAAGTAGAAACATCGAGAGGTAACTCAAGTAGCTTACAGAGCTGAAAAGGAGTGATCTTATGGAATGAATTCCTGAGAGAATCGAGATCGAATGGTTTAAGAAGCTTCTCCCATTCGTTGGATGAATCCGGTGAGCCGCCGCCATCATCGCCGCCGCTACAAAATCCAGAGGAGATAATCGCGTAATAGGAGATTCTCTGAAAAGAATGTGATCTTCTGCTCACATCTAGAACAAGCTTTGATCTCGCTAGCATAACCATAAATGCCACATTAATCTCCGATTGAGGATTTTACTGAGACTCTCTCTGGTTTTGCTACGAGAGAGAAGAACTTAGAACATCAGTAATTACTAATTTACCCTTCTGGTCTTTGGAACCTTCTAGTTAAATTAGAGGTTTCGAATACGCTTCTTCTGTTTATTTTTGGGCCCGTTCTCAGCCAGAGGGAAGTAACCTTGAGCTGATCCTGACCGTTTATGTTTATCATAACGTTTTCCCTCAGCCGTCGGATGAGTAGATCCGGTCTGATTTGAACCGACAATTTAATAAGTAGCTTTTAACATATGAAGGCGACGTGGCACTCTTGTCACCACGACCATCATCAATAATGCAAATTTTTTTATGTAAGCCATAAAAAGATCACATGATTATTACTTTGTGTATTTAAAAGAAAAAAGAAACCATATTGAGTTCATATGTTTTAACCTCTTGTAACAACAATCCAATCAAGATGTAGTCATTATATAATTATTATGGACATTGTATATGTGGAGGTAAGAGTTATAACGTGGTGATTGGATTGGTTCTTGAATATGACCATCAATATTCAATCATTAATCATATGGAATTGTTTCAATAGTACTATCTACTATGTGACTGAAACACTTTAAAACAAAATATAAATGTGTTATCAATTCTAATCTAATTACAGAAACAAAAAAAAGAAACGGACTAATCCTTATTGTACCATATGAATTCACATTTTAATATTTTGTATTAATCACACTAATTAGATTTAGCACATCAACTACTACTGGTTTTGCAAATTACTTTACATAGAATGCTAAGTTACTTGGAGAATTCCATAACCTTGTTATTGTTGTTGTTGCTGCTGCAAATTACCGTTCTAATCCAAAGTTACTTGGAGAAAAGCAGGGTCTATATATAGTCGCAAAGAGAAGATTACGACTAATACATATATAACCATCGTGTGTATTAATGTACATGAGCTGACATTCTTATGGACCACTTCTATCTCGATCTCCATTTATGTATGTATGAACAACCTTTGTTTTTAATGCTCTCTTTTAATTTTCCTCCAACTTTTCCTTCTATTTTCTTTTGTCATCAATCAACAACCATTGAAAACTATTGTGAATACAATTTCTACAACTTCATATGTTTATCTCGTGAAATAATATCTAATGTCATAACTTCTCAAAATTGATAGTATGAAGATAATATCGTTTATATGATCTTTTATCTCTTTACTAGAGCACCGAATTAAGTGAATGACTTAAACTACTTTTGTAACCGGTAGAATTGTTAAGGTGGTTAGTGCTTTTGAAACTATAATTGGTAAAGAACTAATCACATTGGAAACATTTATGATTAGGGAAAGAAAGAGGAATAATATGAAAGAAAGTAAGAGAAAATAGATGCAAAATTGAGAAGAGAAATTAGGGAAATGGACCCATAAGAGAAGCCTCAAAGAGGAAAAGGAAGCAAAGATACAAAAAGAAAGTTAAATGCAATGCACATAGAGAGGATTCAACATTATCAAAAAACAGACAGGCAAAGAAGAAGGAACGAGGCTTTGTCATAGTTAATGACACTCACTCTCCAACTTGTCCCTCCCCAAATCATATTTTTATTATTTCTCCACTTAACCAACTCATATCTTCACTAAAAAACATATTACAAATGTCAGTAATCTAATAATGTTTATGTAAAATCTAAAAAAGACAGATTGGATTATATGATATATATTTTTTTTCTCATCAGATTGGATTATATGATAAGAATGGGCAAAATTTATATTACTAAATTTTTTAAAATTATGATAATTGAGAAGCAGAGAGTTTTAAGCCCATTACTTCACAGGCTGTGACATATATGTGAGACTTTGGTTTTGAAAATCTCTCTGAGAAAATAGACAATTCAGAGAAAGCTCCAATTCTCGAAGCATCCCATGTGGGGATAATATCTCCCTCTCTCTTCTCTCTCTCCCACTCTCTCTTTCATCTTTATAATCAAAACTAATCAATCTCTCTTCTCTTGGAAACTCTTTGTTTCACTTCGATCTTCTCATCCTCTCTATATCTTCTCTTGGTCCTTTTTTGCTTCCAACTACAGAGTGTGTTAATTATTTGTGCATGATGTGGGAATCTGAGAGCGACGGCGGGGTTGGAGGAGGAGGAGGAAGAGAGTATGGTGATGGAGTTTTGAGTTCTAACAAGCATGGCGGCGTCAAGACGGATGGGTTTGAGCTTAGAGGCCAATCTTGGTAATATCCTCACACTTTCACTATAGTCTCTGCAAAACAACATGTTTCCTTGTCAAGAAAGTTAATATTCATTCATATCAAAAACCTTTGCTTTGGATTAGGTTTGTTGCTACGGATATCCCCAGCGATCTTCTCGTTAAAATCGGCGACATGAACTTTCACCTTCACAAGGTAACTTAATGTTCTTGAGTCAATATTATTAGGCTAGGAATTCATAAGTTTTATGGATTTTTAAAGTGTTTATGTTTCTTTCCTTCAGTATCCGTTGCTGTCACGTAGCGGGAAGATGAACAGATTGATCTACGAGTCACGAGATCCTGACCCGACGATCCTTATTCTTGATGATCTACCTGGAGGACCAGAAGCTTTTGAGCTTGCATCCAAATTCTGCTATGGAGTTCCCGTGGATCTCACGGCAACTAACATATCAGGATTACGTTGTGCAGCTGAGTATCTTGAGATGACAGAGGATCTTGAGGAAGGGAATCTAATCTTTAAGACAGAAGCTTTTCTCAGCTATGTGGTTCTGTCTTCATGGAGAGACTCGATCTTGGTCCTAAAGAGCTGTGAAAAGCTCTCACCTTGGGCTGAGAATCTTCAGATTGTAAGGAGGTGTAGTGAATCTATTGCTTGGAAAGCTTGTAGTAATCCAAAAGGTATTAGATGGGCTTACACAGGGAAAGCTCCATCTCCATCAACCACAAATTTCGCGAGCTCTAGTCCGAGATGGAACGAATCAAAAGATTCAAGTATCTATTGTAGCCCGAGTAGGAACACTAATAGCCAGCCTGTTCCTCCAGATTGGTGGTTCGAAGATGTCTCTATCTTAAGAATCGATCATTTCGTTCGTGTGATCACTGCAATCAAGGTACATACAGATTATTTTTCTCTCAAGCATTTTCACAAACACTTGGTGTACATATCTTAATCCTCCAACTTTGAAACAGGTGAAAGGTATGAGATTTGAATTACTCGGAGCTGTTATAATGCATTACGCCGGAAAATGGCTTCCCGGTTTGATCAAAGAAGGAGGAGTTGCAGTAGCTCCAGCAATGTCCTCCGCCATTGGAGGAGGAGGAGGAGGAGGATTAGGTTTAGGAGGAGACGAAATGAGTATAAGCTGCGGAAGCAACAGCAGCGGAGGAAGCTCCGGTCCAGATTGGAAAGGAGGTCTTCACATGGTTCTATCCGCCGGAAAAACAAACGGACATCAAGATTCCGTCGCTTGTCTCGCCGGACTCGGAATCAGTCCAAAAGACCAACGCATGATCGTCGAATCCTTAATCAGCATCATCCCTCCACAGAAAGATTCCGTCACTTGTAGCTTCCTTCTCCGTCTTCTTAGAGCAGCCAACATGCTCAAAGTCGCTCCGGCGTTGATCACAGAGCTCGAGAAACGTGTAGGGATGCAATTCGAACAAGCGACGCTTCAAGATCTTTTGATTCCTGGTTATAACAATAAAGGAGAGACAATGTACGATGTTGATCTTGTTCAGAGATTGTTGGAACATTTTCTTGTTCAAGAACAGACAGAAGGATCGAGTCCGAGTAGAATGTCGCCGTCGCCGTCGCAGTCTATGTACGCCGATATCCCGAGAGGGAATAGCAACAATGGTGGTGGTGGTGGTAATAATCAGAATGCGAAGATGAGAGTGGCGAGGCTTGTGGATAGTTATCTCACTGAAGTTGCTAGAGATCGGAATTTGCCGTTGACAAAGTTTCAGGTTTTGGCGGAGGCATTACCGGAATCTGCTAGGACTTGTGACGATGGACTATACAGAGCCATTGATTCATATCTCAAGGTATATATATTAAAGGGTCTTATTGGTAAATTCGTAGTATATTCCACTTTTTATAATATTATCTTCGATTATTTCCATAGTTAAATTTTTTTTTTTTTTGTCATTTGCTCGGATTTTTAAAATTAAAATCATTTTAGTTGTTACTTGTTACTGACTGCACTATTTCTTGAACTTTTTTTTTCTTTCTTGAATAATATGGTTACTGTTTCAATTTCATATTTTTCTAGCAAATTTAAATTATGAAATTTTCTCTCAACTTCTTGGTGTTACCAAATACTCTGATTGGTAACTTAATGAAATTGTGGAATCAAGTCTTGCATAATTGAATGACAGAATCGTTAGAAATTTGATTGAACTCAAAAATTGAGGAAAGACCAAATCTTTTTTTTTTTTTTGAATTTTACAGTGATGCTTTTGATCATATGTTGCTTTGGCTTAATTTTGTTGTGATAGGCGCATCCGACATTGTCGGAGCACGAGAGGAAACGGCTTTGCCGAGTTATGGACTGTCAAAAACTATCAATGGACGCATGTATGCACGCGGCTCAGAACGAGCGGTTGCCATTGAGAGTAGTGGTTCAAGTTCTCTTCTCGGAGCAAGTCAAAATCAGCAATGCCTTAGCCAACACATCACTCAAGGAGTCAACCACGTTAGGAGAAGCCATGGGTACGTATCAGCCTATGATCCCAAATCGCAAGACATTGATCGAAGCAACACCACAATCGTTTCAGGCAAGTAAGAGAAAACACTCATCAAAATTCACACAAATTCATTTCTCTAATTCCTCTACTTTGAAAACAGGAAGGATGGGCTGCGGCCAAGAAGGATATTAACACGTTGAAATTCGAGTTAGAGACGGTGAAGACCAAGTACGTCGAGCTTCAGAACGAGATGGAAGTGATGCAAAGACAGTTTGAGAAGACGGGGAAAGTGAAGAACACGCCATCTTCTTCGGCTTGGACTAGCGGTTGGAAGAAGCTAAGTAAACTGACTAAGATGAGTGGACAGGAGACTCATGACATGTCCTCCGGAGGAGAACAAGCTGGTGTTGAACATCAACCCGCCAGGAAACCAAGACGATGGAGGAACTCAATTTCTTGAAATGATAGTGATGGTTTTGTATCTTCTTGATTTTGATTCTTTGGAAAGAAAAAAGCTTTTGTTTGGTCCTAATTTGTAATGTTTATTGGTTTCTAATATGGAATAAGTGACATAAAGATTCGATTTTTTTCACAAACAAAAAACCCATTTGTTTATTACAAAACCATTTAACAATACAACCAAAGAGACACAACAAAACCAGTAGCATGTGGGTTGGAAGCAAAAGACAAAGGAATAGTTTGCATTATTACAGACACTCAAATTAATTACATGAACATGACATCAATATTTCATAAAAATCATGGACCCATCTAGTCATCATATGGACAAAAGAGTGTGTGTGGGTCAGAGATATTTTATTACCTTAGGGGAGATTCATAGACCACGCGAGCTTCAGGATGAGACTTTGAATATTGCCTTTTGATTTCACCATCCACACTCAGCCAAAAAAGATAATCATTGTCGATCAATGACCATGACGACTTTGGCTTTTCTTTCCACACAGAGAGAAGAAGAAAGTGACCTCTTTTCTTCTTTAACTTTTTGAAATTGCAGTAGCATATTATATATACTTAAAGTAGTCCACTATATACAGCTAAAAAGCTGGTGCAGAGGATACGTACCCAAAAACCCACTTCACACGTTTTAACTCGTGAGAATCTTTCATGCCTTATCTGTCTGCAGATTTCTTGTTCCCCATGTTGTCTCTTTAACCAACAAGATTGGTGACTTGTGAGTGGTGGAGCTTTGGTTCTTAACCTCTGTGGAGATTAAGTCTCGTTTCAGTAACTTTAGGTAATCAATTGCTTCGTCCAGAAGTAAGAGCGCTTCGTTTCCTTTTGCACCGGGGACTATGCTCTCGAGTATTTTCAGAGCTGTGCGGATCTTATCTTTCTTCGACTGCTCATTGCTCAGACCAGAACCAGTGTCTTCTTTGGTCGAGATGTTTTTTGATTCAGGGAGCTTTTTGTCCTTCAGAAAGGACGATCCATTGAGTTTTGTGGAACTCGTAGTGCCCACAAGTGATGATGAGTCGCTGCTGTTGTTGACCTTATCCAGTAGTTTCTGCCTTTTACAAGGGCCATCGATATCTTCTAATTCCCTTTTGTTGCAAACTCGTTCATTTGGATAAGGAGAGTGACCAGTGCTCATTACTTCATCATCACTCTCACAATCATCATCATCATCATAATCATCATCTGAATACAGCAATGCATTGATCTCCTCAGTGTCTTCATGCATTTCTGACTCTGTTCCATCTAAATGGTTCTTGTCAAACTCTTCACCATCTTCCTTGAAAGCTTTCTCTATACCTTGTAACTCAGAGAGTTTCACTGGCTCTGCAGCCGCATGAGATGGAAACCGTAGAGGAAATGGACATTGTAATAGACGAGTCTGGTTTCCTGACTGATCGAATATCAAAAGTCTTTTCTGAGAAGACTCTAATGCTCCATATGGAGTAGTAGTAGTAGTAGCAGCAGCAGCGCACCAAGACCGCATGTCAGACCGTGAGAATCGTTTTCCATAAGACTCCTTATCATGGCTGCACAGCAAAGACATGAATGGTGGTGGCTGCAAACAGCGAGCCTGAAGCTTAGCTGCATATAGTTTCCCATGCTCAGGGAGAGGAATTCCAGGATGGACAGACCGACCTGCTATATCCTCGAAGCAAGTTTGAGGACTTAAGCCCAGAGGCAAATCCCGTTGCCTCGTATCTAAAGGCATGCTCTTAGCAGTTTAGCTCAAGGGAGCTTCAAAAAGTACAACACTGCAGGACAAAAGAGAGGCAAAAATCAGCACAAGAAAGATAAAGTCAGCAATTTTATAAGATGAGACAGTAATGAGAGGGAGAATTAGCATACCGATTGTTAAGTTGCTCAATTGAGTGAATGCAATACTTCTTGTGCCCTTTTGGAGAAAATAGTAAAAGAAAGACGAACGAAAAAAATCCCAGATTGAAAAATGCAGCGAAATATCACCAACCAACTACGTGACAGGTTTGAGAAGAAGTCTGAAGTACTCAGCCTGAAACACAAAAGAATCAAACAATCACATTGTTAGAAGACTAAAACTATAAGCTAAAAGTGTGATAAATGAGAGCATTATTGTCTGGTACAAACCTGGCAATTATCCATCGGTTGATAGCATTCAATAACTCTAACTACAATTGTTGATTTGTTAGCGTTTCCTGTCTCGTACTTCAATGCTCGAAATCTTGTCTTACCAGGTGATTGGCACACCATAACTTTGAGGAAATCTTTGATGGAAAAAAGCAGACAGAAACCAAACCAAAAGGAGGAAACTTTTGTTGTGGAAGGAAAGTAAGCTTTAGTCTAGCTGATTCTTTGTTCACAATGGTACACATAGAAATGTTGTGATCCCATTTTCAAAAGTGTTTAAAATATATCGAAAACGAAGGGAAGATGAATAAGAACAAAGAAGAGGATTTGACTCTTGAAGGTCTTGGTTCAAAGGTGAAACAATTTACAGAATCACACGGCAATACAGATTCAAGCGCAAAACTTTACGGTATACGGCAATACACATGCTGTTTTCTCTTTCTCTTCCTCTTATACACACTCTAATTGATTCTGATCATCAATCTACTTTAGTAGTATCTGTGCAAAAATCGAAGGAAGCATCTCATCAACACCAAAAATGAGCTAAATCCAGAGATCAAAACAGTAAAAGGACAGAGATTTATAAACATCTAGCAATTGGGTCTATTCACAGCTTCAATTTACGCTACATTTACTATTGCAACTCTGAATATACACAAATCACAATGTTCTAAGCTAGATTCAGACATAAATTACAAAACTTTCACATTTCACAAACGATTAAAACCGGTTTTAACCACAGTTTCCAGATACAAAAACAGAGAAAACAGTGACAGAGTATAAGAGAGAAAGATTGAATTTGATTACCTTACAAAGGAACGATCTTTCGCTCAGATCCAGAGAGAACGATGAGACTTTTTTGGTTTATGAGCTGAATCAATGGAAAAGCAAAGGGATAAGAGAGATGAAAGTGACCAACGAGCAATAATGTGTAAACGCAGAAATTTTTTTTACGAAATATTTCTAAAGAGGTGAGTGGCAACAAGAGTAACAAGGCTTTATAAAAAGATTTTATGACGTTTTTGCCCTCTTCATTACTTTATTTTACCAAATCACACTCCCAAATTTTCCGTTTGGTTCGGCTTTTTTTTTGTTTTTTTTTTTAAATATATAAATCAAAATTAATTTACTTTCTATTTTTATTTTATATAAATTTAACATACGCAAAGGTTACATATTTTGAATTGTACAAATGGAATTTTTGATTATATAAAGAAAAAAAGATATGTTACTTGGAAATTAATCTTGTAATTAAAAACGGTGGCAATATTTATTTGTGCTTTGCTTGAAAGAAATGGGACAAGGGGGCCGAACGTGTATATACGTAATTATGGTATATATGATGACAAAGTCTCACGGTCCATAATTTCAGGTTATACTTTATCATTAAATAATATTTTTTTTAACCAATATAATTTGTTATATATATACTTATTCGTTAAAGTAAAAGTCCATACGTTTTCTCTTAATTATTTTAAAAGCTAAGTTAGTGAAAGTGTGGTCGAGCTTTATTATATCCTTAATTATGTTCTAAATAAAAAAAACTATTTCAGGTTACCTCTTTAATTTTATTGAAAGCTAAGTTAGTGAAAGTGTGCTCAAGCTTTTTTGTTATCCTTAATTATATTCTAATACATTTGTTTAGGTGCGTGTTGAGTTTTCAAACACCCATTGTGACGGAAAAGAATAAAAGCTAACCACACTTTTTATTATTAATTTTAATTAACTATATAGCATCTATCTAGCTTATACAACGCCAAAATTAGCTCAATACTTTTCTTTTATTTTTGTAAAATATTATGTAGACTTCATTTGTTTTAAAAGTTATTATCATAAAAGGTCTTGTGTGATTGGGGAATGTGGGTGAAAAGAAAAAGAAAAGTAAAAGAATGAAAATGAAAATGGTAAAAAGAAAAAGAAAAAAGGAGCATAAGTGATCATTAAAGAATTGCACGGGAATTTTAAGTGCTTAATTACCCGCACGACTTCTCTCGCGTTCCTCTTTTCTTCCTTTCTTTTGTTTACATGTATCTTGTCTGAAAAAGTTTTTAACTTTAGTCTTTTTTCTTCCTTTGATTTGATATTAACAACAGTAATTATACTGTGTTTGAACTAGAAGTGGTCAATTCAAATTTCATTATGGTCAAATTTCATTATGGTTGAGACCATTTGTTTTGGTTCTGATATTTTGAAGATAAGTTTCTATAGCATAAAAGAGAAAATTAAGATTAAAGTTTCAGTTTGATCCTTTTCTGCTTTTTATTGGCATTTTGACTGAATAAATAAAACCAGTTTAATCAAATTAAATTAAAAGACAACAATAATCTCATAATCAATTACATTCGAACTGAAACACGAGACGGGTCTTTTATTTAGATAAAAACGTGGTCCAAGAGTTTTTTAGAAGAGCAATGACATCACAAAGTTTTGTTTGATCACGATCCCAGAAGCAATAAAGATAAAGGGTTGTAATAATTCAACATTCAAGTATAGATTAATAATCTTCCCACAGTTTAGGAGCTGGGGAGATCATTACTGCAAGCTCAGTACTTCGATTTCAAAGTCGAGAACCGAGTTTGGCTGGATTCCCCATGCCGGAAATCCACCAGCGCCGTATGCGTAATCCGGTGAGCACTGCAGAAGCAGAGATAAATAGCAAGCCAAAGAATGTAAAAAAAACCGCAAAACATATAACAACAGACAGAAATGGCTTCTACTATTGCAAGCTCTAAGTAAAACAATGATTAGAGACAAAAGTGCTTCAACAGAGACATAATAAAGCTTAGAATCCATGAAGCATAGACGGCAAAACTTGGGAAAGAGGAACATGATGAGAGAAGCGGTATACATACCCGCAAGCGAGCAACCTCTCCAATTTGCATTCCAATGACGCCTTCATCCCATCCTGTAAGGAAATATAAACAATTGAATCATGACGTTCTCTCTCCAAAAAAAGAGAGAAAAATAGGTTCGGACATATGATGATATGATCAACCATGAAACAGAGGAAGTAAGTTTTACCTTTGATCACAGAACCTTTACCGATTTGGAACGAGAAAGGTTTCTGCCCCTCGTCCTTTGTACTATAATTAAATACCAAAGAACAAAAAACAATTAGGGTTAAGGAAATACCAAAACAAAAACATATCGATTTATAAACTAGTGTGCATGAATGATAGGAACAAGTAATTGTAGTGTAATTATCTCTTTATTGATCCTTAAATCAAAGATTACAAATGAAGAATCATTTACCTCCAGAACTTCTGGGACAGATCACCACCTTTCCCTGCAAAAAAAAAACACAAGAGAAATAAGATTCTAAATTCTCAAACAAAATTCATAAAGGTAGAAATTAAAGAGATACGATTCCATACAAGAAATTGGATTATAAGATATAATCAAAAGTTAAAGATTCTCCACCAAAACCTTCAACTGCAATAGCTAAGTAAGAGATCGATTCGTATGAAGTTTTTCAGATAAGCAAACAAATAATCTCGCAAAACAACAAAATTACAGATTAATTATGACCTAAAGGTTACTCTCATCACCCAGAAGAGAACATAAACCCTAATTAAATCCATTTCACATCAGAGAAAATAAACAAATAGCGACTACCACAACACATCTCATAGCTCTTCACCAAAAGTAGATTTGTATAGATCGATTTTGCCTATCATGGCGATTTCAAAGATACAGAGGAAAGTTACCGAATCCGGTGCAATGGACGGTGACGGTTTGACCCGGAGCGGGTTTGGGACCGGTGCCGGGTCTGATCACTTGCTTCTCCACACCCATCTCTATATCTTCTCTCACTGTTTCGCTTTTTTGCAGCTTCGAGTCTCGAGCAGCTTTAGCTGTATTTTTGTTATTTACTTATTATTTATCACTAGGTGAGTACCCACGCTACGCGTGGGCTTTTGTTTTAAAAATTGTTAAAAATTTTCTGTTGATAGTTTTTGTTGTTAGTTATTTTTATTTTTTTATGTTTTTTATCATAAAGTTAGATACATCTTATGTAGTTATAAAATTAGATTCATATTGACTCAAGATGTCAACTAAACATTTGTTGCAAGTGAAACTATATACTAAAATTAAATTGCCATCATGGAGGAGATTTTGGTGGAGAGATCACATTGTAACCAAAATGTTTCTGATTACATGTCTATGTGTAGTACTTTGAAAATGAACCAGAAAGATCTTGTAATGGTCCCAATTTTAAAACTTTTAACACACATTTCAATTTTTAAAATAGAGCAAAGGTTTGTAGAAGAGACCGGTAAGATCCTCATGACTATTATAGCCACTTATGCCCGCATAGAAAAGATTTTCTGGTGAGTGATAGAATTAATCAATCACATAACTCTCACAACATCTAGTTTGGGATGCAACCGTTGCATGGTTAAGCCTAAACTTGTGTCATCCCAATCATATGCTCCTGGTATACCAGATTGTCATACTTGTCATCATCAAGATCATGATTCACACTATATATGATAGGTGGGATATAGATATCAAAGATATATATCCAAGATGACTGTTAGGAACTTCAAGACCTGCAAAAGAGATTGACCACAAGATTGGGCACTAACAGAATTCCGCAAATGAATAACTTATTGTGTATATGATATATAACTTCATTGACAAAGCTCTATTGGCTTTAAGCAATATTCACTCTTTGTTTTGAGAATCAAAGAGCAGGTCAAGCATGTACCGTGTCTACAACAAAATTATCATGCCACCATAATAATCATAAGTAAACAACAGAACATTTTAACACATTAATCTCATTGAATAACTCTATATACATATAGCTTTGAAGAGCTGAAGAATTGACCATAATAGATCAAGTTTTCTTGCGAAAATCTTATGTTGACGTTTTAGCTTATTTAAATTCAAAGATTTTATATTCTCCATGAGAAGATTTCTGCACCAACAAAGACAAATACATTACAATAAAAAAACTCTATATACATATAATTGTGTATATATATAAAGAGGGGGAGAGATACTCCACTGAAAGCACCTTAAAACTAAAAACTAAAATAGATTAATACCAAATATTTTTCGAATTCGTTTGATCGATTTTGCAGTTCTCAAAATCAAAATAGCATAGATTATCTTGAAAATGGGCCAGTCTATGGTTGAAAGAATAAATTTTTACACCGCTAAAAAATAAATAAAGAGTAAAGACAGAGATGCTATAATCATGTAACATGTACCTCATATTACAAAGCATTGGTTTTGTTGGTAGTTGCATGTTTGCCAAAATACGATGCAACAAATGGCTACATCAAGTACTCTGAACTCATCTGTACCGAGCTCAAAATTGTAGAAACTTAATGGCTTTAAAACAGAACGAAGATCAACACATCGCATGAGTAAAAAAAACGCTATTTGTACCCTATTAGTTATAGTTATGATTTTTTGGGAGTTTTATATTGTACCCACTTTAATCTATTAAATAAGTACTAACTTCAAATGGAATTTCGAATGTTTAATATTAAAGTTGTGGGAGTGAATTTGAAAGAGTCAAAACGATTCTATTTTAGTGGAGAAAAACTAAGAGCCATAAACGTGGGAGTTAGTGGGAAGTCAACATGCAAGAAGAGACGATAGGTTTTTCGTTACGTTTTTCGGCATTTTAATCTATGACGGTTTTCTAAATTTTCAACAAGCAATATGACAAAGCCAATAGGCCCAATTGAATAGAAAAGAAGCAAACCCCAACCTAGCCCTAGAAAACCACCGCAGAGGCATGAGGTAAGAGGAGAAAGAAGCAGGAAACAAGTGTGGAGCCGGAGCAAAAGATGGTCGACGACGGTCACCGTGGAGCTGTTCCACCAACAAAATATTGTATCTCGCTATCGAATATATAATAGCATAGAACATTGTAAAAATGTAGACAGTTGAAGGTATGATTTTATTTTGAAGCCAATGAGAAGAATACCTCAAAGATAGACTAACAAAGATCAACATGATTATAAGAAACCAAAACCGTCTCTCTCCAATTTAAGCTTTCATGTTTCATGCAATATGCTGTTTTTTCTTAGAAAGCCTGAACTCAAAGGGTAAGAGCTATTCTGATTTTACACCTGAATTCATTTGAGACTGAAGGTAAGCAGAAAATACATCAATCTCCCACTTTATAACCACATCACACACCAATCCACCCATGCATCCAAATTTCTTTTTGAATGCTTCCTCTATTGCAGTCCCCATAAAGTTCCCCTTTTGAGCCAAAAATGGTACGTTCTCCATCACCACGTACAAAGACTAAAAATTAGTATAAGCGATCTGATAAAATCTTCACCAGCTGAACTAACGGTTGAGGCTTTGCGTTGAGTTTGAAATATGGGTGTCAACAACAAAAAGAAAAAAGCATATATAAAATATTCATTGATTTCCAAGAGGATCTTATAAGCAAAAAAAATTAAAAGAGGCAGAGAAACTAAACATACATACAGATCTTTAATTAGGTGGAATATCAGAAATGCCTCTGTTTGGGGCCATCGCCATCAACGCTTATGTAATTTGTTAAACTGGTCAGCTCTAGCATTTCAAGGTCTTCTACCTTTTCTTCTAGGATATTAGGTTTAACTATGACGGAGGAAAATAATTTATATTAGGTTTAACTATGACGGAGGAAAATAATTTACAGAAAACACGTGAGATGTGACCGTGAGATTCCCGATTGATACCATGAAATTGAGAACATGATAAAAACACTCAAACAGAAAGAGAGACGTCAACCTGCGACAAATGATCAAACAATAGAATAAGGAGATGGAAGAGGACGTGGCTAGGGTTGATATAGCCTGAGAGATGACGATTAGGGTTCCACTTGTTTTGAATCTGGAGGAAGAATCTCGCTTCTAAAGCTAATTATAGGATGGAGAGACGAGTGTCACGATTCCATGCTTTAAAGGGATAGGGGAGAGAAGTTCAACAGTTTGCCGAGAGTCTTAAACCTAAAAAGAAATTGATTATAGAGAGAAATAGTTATTGAAAACCAAAATTTAGTCTTTATCTTCAGTTAGATTTTGCTGAGTTTTGAATTCTTTAATGTGCTATTAATGATTTTTTTTTTTCCAAATACACGTGTCCTCTCCTTAAGTGATGAGGTGTCAGAAGGATGGAGAGAGTTCACCTCCTTTTATATATATGATTCTGATTGATCTATCCTCCTATATGGGCCTAATAATAATGGAAACCCCAATTTTCGGCCCATACTTTATTCTTTCTCAAAAGTGGATAATACTGTACCAGACCGAATTAAATAGCAGTCTAGCCCAAAACTAATTTTCTTTTTTTAACTTCGGATTCATCAAATTCAAGCCAGATCTGTAGCTACTATTCGAAAAGAACGAAGTAAGAAACTATCAAAATTTCCTTTGCATTTTTGAAAGATACATGGTCAAGAAGACAGAGCAAAATTTCCATTACAACGAACCTGTCTTCATCACAATTAGAGAAAAACAGATTATGCAGAAATGTTTAGAGGGCTTAACAGTTTCACCATTAACGGCCTGAACAAGCTTTTATGAATAGACAATGGAACCTTCTTCACTGCAGGAAAACTGGAAGGGTATAAAAGCCAGATAACGTGCACAAAGCATCGTTTGAATAGCTTCTGTATCTTCTTGATTCTGCACTCTCATTACAGGTAAGTGAGAATACCTAGCTACAATGACTACACAAAAAGACTCACTACAAAGCCGTTTAGGTCTTTACCTTAGACCCAAGCAAGAAATTCTTGACAAAAAGATTACTTGTTTTCCTTACCTTACAAAGCATCAAGGATGAATGAAGCAAGCAGTGTGTGTTGTCAGTTTACCTCTTCGTTTGTTGGTCCATAAAGCAAACAACACACAAATTACTCTAGTGAATGAACAGAAACAGACATAAGCAGAAACTACGACATGTATAACCACTTATATTTTGCATTATGGCCTCTTGTGTTGGAGGAACATAATTCTTGTGCAACAAAAGAAACCTGAGCAGAATAAGTAACTCACTTTACTTTGAAAAAGGCACTTGGCTAATAAGGCTTTATAATCTAAACCGAGAAAGATATCTTAATGCCATACTCAACTCAGAACTCAGAAGCAGAAGCTTATATACCAGAAAGGGAAGAAAACAACCGAATTTTGGGCCAAATAACATCAACAGATTCCAACTACAGGGAGTCCATGGAATCAAAATGCCAGTATTTCCACTACAGTTAAACATCAACAGGAAACATAAAAGCTAAGGCCTACAACAACGGAACACCGCAACCTAAACCAAGGAAGGAAAAAGCCTTACTTCACTAAGTAGCCTTGATCTTATCATCTCCAACAACAGAAAGTATTGGCAAACTATTCAAGAATTCATCAAGTCCCTCAAAGAACCCAATCCCTTCCATATGATCTACCTCCCTGTTACTTCCGATCCCATTGCCTTCATTTCTCCCACCAGCCACACCAGGCTCTTCCACTTCATTACTAAACTCCACATTTAAATCCAACCTCCCCAGGTTCTTAGCTCCTGTTCCCATTCGTTTTCTAGTAATATAACTCCCTGGTTTAGACATAACCCCGGATGAGGAACCAACCGCAGCATCCGAAAGCGCGTGATTGCTAGCACTACTGATACTTTCTACATTTTGGACTGTCTCAACTCCATGTTTCTTGTTACTTCTCACAGATGTTTCTTTCCCTTTCCCAGCATTCGCCTTCTTATTCCCTTGTACCACATCTTGCCAATCATCATCATCACCAGCATCATCTTCATCCGAAATCGCAACATATATGTCATCATCATCATAGTAAATCCTAGGAGGACCCGGTTCCTTTCTCTTCCTTGGTTCATCATCCACCTTTTGCATAGGACAGGCAAATAGAGGTGAAATAGGTGACCAACTCGGGGTTTTAAATTCACCGGAAAACCCTAAAGGAAACAAAGCCCATGAGCAAAAGTAAACGTCTTTGTCGTCTTTCCCGTCTTCTACCGGAGGTTTTGGTATCGTCACAGCTTGAAACGCTCTTCTACATTCTTGACATTTCAAAGTACATTCTTCGTAAGCCTTAGGGTACTCAAAGAGAACAAAACAGTAAGGGCAAGCAGTCCAGAAGCTCGTCGCCATAGGATCCGTCGAGGTCCCAGCCTGTGGCGGAAATACGGCGGTGGGATTCCACTGGAAATTTTGATGCGATTGGGTTTGAGGATGGAAACCAGATTGACCGAGTTGACTCAGTTGCAATTCTCGGTCGTAGAATGACTTCTTGGACGGATCAGAGAGCACGAACCAAGCATCAGAGACGATTTTAAACGCTCGATCGGCGAATGGGAGACGATTAACGGAAGGATTGAGGAGAAGAGCGAGTCTACGGTACTGAGTCGCGACGTGTTCAGGGTTTTGAGCTAATCGACCGAGTCGGAGAACGGCGTACCAGTCCGGCAAGTTAGAATCACCTAAACGAGTCTCTCCGGCGAGAAGAATGTCGCAGATTGCGAGGATGTAGTCCGCTGCTTCTGCTCGGGTCGGATCAGCTTCGCATGCGCGGATCGCAAATGTCTTTGCTCCTTGAAGATCACTAGACGCTAGAAGCTTTTCCGATGTAACAAGCCACCGATCCGCCTCTGCTCTGTTACCACCACCGCCAACTCCGCCGCGTCCGCCTACCATATCCCTTTTTTTTGTTCCCCTTCGTTTCTCCTCTCTCCCCGTAAATTAATTGACTCCTGAAATTATTTATTTTATCGCTAAATAGTAAATAAAATACAGATCTAAAATTAAAAGGACGAAAAAGGAGTCGAGTATACAACGTTAATTACATGAGCCGGAACAACTATATGCGGGATCGTCAATGGCATTTTGGTCTTTTTCTTTTATATAATATGTGCATCATTGCCTTATTAATGTAGCTTCTCATCTCCAAAAAATCTTGCGTTACTTCATATAGTTCCTTGGATCCTAATAAAGCCTTAAAATTTGATAGAGTTGCAGTTGAAGTTTGATTTAAAAGTTTGTAGATTATTTTAAAAAAAAAAATATTTCACCTTGCTCCACGAAAGAACCAAATTAACCGGCCAAGCCTTGTTCCATGCAGAGCAAAGCAAAAGATATTTTAACTTTTTCTTGTGTTTTCTCTTCGTTTCCAATTTGATTCTGAAGGAGAAAAAGGAAAAATATAAATAAAAGAAAGAAAAATGGAAAGTGAGAGAACAGCACGTGTGACTTGAATTTTGAAGTGTTCGTAACTAACGAAAAAGGAAATTTGCCAATTTATCTTTTACCAAAAAAAATTTTCATTTTTTTTCTGTGTCTTTGGTAGTCTATATATATACAATATCGAGAGCTGCCTGCTAATAAACAAGCACAGAGAGAGAGAGAGAAAGAAAGAAGAATGTCTATGCTGCAGGCTTTGAAAAGTATGACACAAAATCTGAGGAATGCAAGACTTAGAGAGTTGGTAGCTTGCAGACCTAGTTTGCAAAGCCTTGCGTTTAGTTCAAAGGCAGCTGCTGCGGCAAGGGACAGGGCAAATAAGCTTCAAAAAGCCAGAAAAATTGCAAGAGAGAAGGCAAGAGCATACGATCAATGGTTCTCTGAAATTGTTAAGGCGAAGAAGATAGTCAAGCCTCATCTGGATAAAGTAAAAGAATCAATGAAAACACAATATGGAACGCTAGGAAATATGTTAAAGGTAAATACGAAACTCTGTTTTTTTTTTTGGCTCTTAAGAAAAAATCAGACTTGTTTTTCTACATCGCTAATTAGTACGTCTAGATTTCAGTTTAGTGTCTCCACATAAAAACATTGGATATGGCTGCTAGATTGATTGGAGTTTTAACATGTGGTTTTGTTACAGGACGGCGGTGACATCCGTATCCCAGTTAGCAAGCTTCTTGATGATGCAGTTACAAAGTGCTTAGTCTTTGGTACTGCAAGCGGTCAGCGTCAAGACAACGTAGACCTAATTCTTGCACTAGGAGACAAAATTGTAGAATATCAGAAGAAGCTTAAAGATAAACAATTTGTAGACATCGAAGGAGCAGTCAAGATAATCACACTAATTGATTGTCTAATCTCAAAGGATCAGTTAGAGCTCGTAAAGGTAATTAAACTTGATTGTGTCAATTGCAAGAATAATCACATATATACTGTAATTCATATAATGACTTGTTTTTCTTTTCTGTTGTTGGCTGCAGGTTATTCCTAACAGAGACGGTGATTTTCGGTTTCAAACGATGACTACATACAACGATGCCCTGGCAGTTGGAAAAGTAAGAAAACCCTCCTCTGCAAATTTTCCTTTCTTGTTGTTCTATATCACACTAGCTAACATTGTTTTCTTTTTTTCCCTTTCTTAAAGTATTCGGAGAACTTGAACAAGGACGACGTGAATACGGAATTGGCGGATGACGGTGATTCATTCGTTATCCTTTTCCTTGCATTCAAGGCGTGGGTCTTGAAGATCAAGAGAGTGCACTTGTGCCCTCCATTCTCTTTTTTTCCTTAAGAGTATGTTTAGTGGATTTTGCCCACCTTTAAATTAATAATGTCTGAAAACTAAAACAGCTAGTTACGTTTGTGGGTTGTCTTTGGAATTATGATTCTTGATAACGTGTTATCGAAAATTGTTTATTTTGATCTTTTCTCATATATTAAAGGTTCTTGCTTTATTTTCCAAACCATTTTCAAGTTATTGAGTTAAATACGAGATGGATTATTATTTAGCGTCCAAAAAACAGAGTTCCTGTTTTAGCTCCGTTTTTGTTTCAAAAGTAGCAACGTTCCTCTGTTATGCTTTACACAAGTCAGTAGTTTTATTTTAGAGCCCAATCTCGCTATAAGCCCAAAACTGAAAAATTGGAGACTTGGTGGGCAAGACAAGACAATCTCTCCGTATCAAATAATTAATGGACAATCTTATTATATAATCCAGAATCGAGATCGTGTAATACTTATTAGTTATTACTAATTCCTTTTTTTTTGTTTTCTCTTTTAGTTTCGTATTAACCCTAATTCTCTTATCCCCAATTCTGTTATTCGCTACTACGAGCCATGTCTCTGCTGCTTCTCATCAGCCGCCTCTCCAAGCTTTCGTCCCCTCCACTCGTAAGCTGCTCTTCTCTCCTATGTCTTTATGTTCTGTAATACTTACTCCTTCTCATGTTTGTGAGATTACTACGCAGAGAAACCTCACCACTCGTTTCTTCTCAACTACGTTTTTGAGATCCCATCCCAGTTCCATCAGATCTACCTTGAGAAATGGGGACGTCGGATATATCGAGATTTTTAAAAATCCTCATGATGATGACGTGGTGGAGGAACCGGGAACAAGACTATCATCCAGTGGATGGTTTGCTACGTTGAAGGAAGGAATAGTGTGTCTCCATGATGATGAAACCCCAAATGAGCCAGATACAAATCGAAAACGCATTTCACTGCCTCCTTTTGTAACTCTGCCTCATTGCCAAACCCAAGTTGTAACCAACATCGCCATGACCTCCTCTTGTCCTGAGGATGATGACTGTGTTGTGGCTGTCAAGTTCTTGGGACCTCAACTCAGCTTATTTAGACCCGCTCGGAAAAACTCCGAGTGGACCAATATAAGAATCACAGACCCGGTTTTCTTCAATTCCCGTGTCATGTACTCAACGAGAGATGAGATGTTCTCCATGCCTGCTTCAGGTGGCGCCTACATTGGATCATGGAATCTTGGAGAAGACATTCACAACCACAAGTTGAAGCATTTGTGGTTTCCAAAGTTTCCCGAGATGGTGCAATCAGAGTGGGAGCTCTTGAATTCGTATTGCACAAGCGAACACTTAGTTGAATTTGAACCCACCGGTGAAACTTTTTTGGTTAAGTGGTACACCAAGAGCAATTGCCGTAGGACGGGGAGGGTGGAAACGCAACGTTTCATGGTATTCAAAATAGACGAGAAAGGAAACGCTGTGTACACTACTGACATTGGAGATCGCAGCATCTTGCTCCCCTCCAAGGGTGAAGCTTTCTGTGTCCAGCCTAGCTTGTGTGATAATAAACCAAATAACGTCATATGTTTCAAGGGCCTCGACGACTACGGAATAGCCCATCTCGGCGATTAATACAAATGCTGTTAAAATTTGGCACTTGTAGAAATGATAGTTTTAAGTTTGAGTTTGAGTTTTTTTTTTTTGGGGTTTCGTAAGATTGAAATGAACTTGATACCAACCGACTCTGCTTCAGTTTTCAATTACATTTTAGACAAAAAAAAACGGAATCAAATGTACATCTGTTTATTAAGGTTTGGAGTCACAATTTGTAAATACAAACTCTAAAACAAAACAAAGTCGAGCATGCACGGTGTTGCAGATGTGGAGACTCGTCTAGACAATCACATTCACCTGCACACATTTTTTGAATGCCTAAATCAGCTCTTTAAATTATTGTTTTGTAATGAGCTAGGAGAAGTGGGCAAGAAAAAAAAGAAGTGTGTGTGTGTGTCCAAGATGGAAAAGATGTGTTTGTGTGTGTTGTAATGAGTGAGCTACGATACAAATATTAAGCTATTAGGTAACGCAGAATTTGGTTAAAGCGAGCTAAAAAAGCAAGGTTCTAATAAGGAAAATGAAAAATTGCTGTGAATTGATGATCTCTGTATTTTCTTGTTGTTTTACGGCTCATGTTTCAGAGTTTGAAACCTATTTATGACACAGAAACTAGAAAACTCCGACCTTCTTGAATTATTTAGCTTCAAGATACCAAACATCAAGAAGTATATTTAATTTAGCTTCATAGCTTATATAGTTTGTATTTCCGTAAATAAAAAATTAAGATAAAGCTAAGACTGCAGAGAGAGAAAAGAGCCTGCAGATAGTTTTAAGTTTCTCTTTGTAAAGATACTCCTCCGTGATTTTCTTCTTTGTCAAAATAAAAACCTTGACAAGAATGCGGAAGCTCCACGAAATCAACAAGCAGATTGTCGTCCGCGGCAAGTCCCATCACATCCGCGTCCCAGCTTGTCACTGATGATGACGCAGTGACCCCAAATCTTGGATATATATGTAATAATGCAAAGCCTGTTACTGCTTCTCAATATGATAAAGCTACATGAGATATCTACTTTTTTGTTAAAGAAAAACATGAAGTTGTTTTTAGCCGGGAAAATTTATGCTCTCTAGTTTGATATTGATGCCCGGGACACATCAAAACCGTATAAAAAAACATGATACTATCATCTCAGCAGTAGTTTCCTTGAAGTCAAAGTTACAATGGAAGTATAGCCATAATGCAGAAAAACTTCAAACTCAACAGTGAAAAATACAAACTATAAAGGGAAAATAACTGGGAAGTTGAGACCTGAGGTTAACCTCACATTATTAGTCTAAATTTGGTGGAATCCAGTAAGGTGCCGTGATACTAGAACTGGAATACTCAATCAATAAAAAACAATTGCTGACAGTGGCTGATCCGCAGTGGTCGATTCCAAAGAAATTGATATAGTTATCGTATCCGTCATCGAAGCTAGCCGGGAGACAAAAAGATTCAGCCTTTGAGAGGAAAATGCAGATCTCTCCTATGTCTGTAGTGTACTCAGCGTTTCCTTCCTGGTCTATGTTGAACACCATAAAACGCTCTGTTTTCATCTTCCCGTTGTCGTTGTTTCTCTTGGTGTACCATTTAACTAAAAAAGTTTCACTGGTGGATCTCGACTCCACCAAGTGCTCGCTCCTACAACACGAGTCTAACAGCTCCCACTCTGTTTGCACCAACTCCGGAAGGTTTCGAAACCGCAACTTCTGAACCTTGCGGTTGTGAATGTGTTCTCCGATATCCCATGATCCAATGTAGTCGCCTTCAGAAGAAGGCATTGAGAACATCTCATCTCTTTTCGAGTACATGACATGTGAGTTGAAGAAGCTAGAATCTGTGATTCTGATGTTGGTCCACTCGGAGTTTCTTCGTGCAGGCCTACATAAGCTGAGTTGTGGTCCCAGGAACTTGACCGCCACAATACAGTCTTCATCCTCAGGACAAGAGGAAGACATGGCTATGTTGGTTACAATTTGGGTTTGGCAATGAGGCAGAGTTACAAGAGGAGGCAATGAAATGCGTTTTGGATTTACATCGGATACATTTGGGTTTAGATCATCTTGGAGACGCAACACGCCGTCCTTCAAAGTAGCAACCCATCCATGGGACGATCCTACGGTTCCCATTTCCTTCAACAACTCCATAGGCACCTTCTTTTCCGTAGCGAAGATCGCATCAAAACCGTAATTGCTTACCTCGAGATTTCCAATATCCCCATCCCTAACAGTAGTTCCACAGTGTTTAGCGCCCATGGTGCGGCAAGGAAGTTTGTACGACAAGGACGATGAGAAGAATCGAGCGGTGAGGTCTCTCTGTGGAATAACAGTAAGTAGTAATTAGACATCTAAAAGAACCAAGTATTAGAGTGAAATACCATTGGAGAGAAGAAGAGAACAGTAGCTTACGAGCGGAGGCCGTTTCTGAGAAGAAAGCTTCGAGAGCCGTCGGAGAAGCATGGCTGTTGTTGGTAGCGAAGCTCGACTTCCTTCTTCTTTTGGATCTGTTCTTGCCCAGCCGCTTCTTTTGATTTGATTATTAATTGAAATCCTAGACTAAAGAAGAATAGCAGATTGATACAAAACCCTAATTCAAGAATTGGTAATAATAATTGATTACAAACAATCTTTAGTATTAAACAGAGAATTTGCCTTGCTCACCAAGAATTTCATCTTTCCGTTTTGGGCTTATAACGAGATTGGGCTTTATTGAGTTAGATGAGTTTTAACTTTTAATATGGAGTTAACCCATCTAATCTCAAGTGCCCCTCAAACAGATAACAAGGCCGTGTAATCCCGTTCCATGTAAAAGGGCAATGCAGCTCATCTCCATGCTTCAAAAGCACAGGTAAACGTATTTGTTGGATTTCACTCTTAAACCCTCAGGTTTGTTTTCTTCTGATTCATTCTCATTCTCCTTAACTTCTTTCAACGTTACATAATCATACTTATACTAGATTTCTACTTGCTACAACATGATTACTTAGACTCTAGACATGACAACTTCTACTAGGCCATTCTTCTAGGCTCTAGTTTACAAGCAACCTTAAGTACCTTGACCTTACCTTAGACTACAACCACTCTCAGCAACTCACTTAACACTTAGTTATTATACTTGGACATTATAATTACTTCTACGAATGGGCCTTAGTTAAACCCATGTGACAACACATTTCTTCTGTTGGGCCATAACTTAACCACTGAAGCCCACTCCATCTTTTAATCCAAAAACACAACTCCTTTTATCGTTGACTTTTCTTTTTCTCCGTTGACGTCTTCTTCTTCTTTCTTCAACCACGACAACATGTTCTTCTTGTTCTACTTCAGATTCTTCATCATCATTGTCTTACCTTTCTCACCTTTCTATTTTGCAGGGACAATCAAATGGGTCAATCCCAACAGTATTTAAGTGAGAGAGAAAAAGAACAGAGGCGGCGAGCGAGAGTCACAAGAGCATACCTTGCCCACACTGGTGACGTGTACACTCATGTCCTTGGACTGCGCAAGAGAAAAGAGATATAATAAGATGCTGCTGATTGTGACAATTTTCAAGAGACGGCGTTTTAAAATTGTGGAACATAGATTGATACAAAAGAGTGTTCATGA